CTGCAAACTCGTGTCTGCTTTTTACTGCATTAGAATAAATGAAGTAGGAAGACAATGAACAAATTCATAAGCTTTCCTAAGATGACATGATATCAGAAAAAAAAATATTTAATGAAGTGCCCTAACAGGCAAATATAGCTCTCTTTTTTGGAGAGACATCAAGCACTGAAGGAGTTGGAATTATTGTACATCTTCCATTCAAACAGTATTTGCAGGGATCAATTTGAAATGGTCCATTCCACTTAGGATGCAACAGCTTCACCCAAAAGAAGGGATTTTAAAGGACATATTTGAGATATTTTTCGCAGTCCTATAACCATGAACATCATAATCAACAGTAAACCTAAAAAAGAAAGTATTCTTGCCCTCTTGCAGAAGTAATAACACCACCATATTTAATTACAACCCTTTCATATGGCTTTTCTTCCTCAGCAGTATATAGCTGATGAAAATACAATGCGTCAAGAAAAGGAAGAAAGGCAATTTAACATTTATAATACTTATGACTAATCTCTTTGTTACCAAGTAGATGCATAATGTTCATCCAAGACTCTCACTTCATGGTAGTCTCACCACAGGATCTTCAGATTTGCAGGGGCCGTTGCAGTTGCCTGCCATAAAATCATAGAATGGTTTGGGTTGGAAGGCTCCCCAAGGATCATCAAGTTCCAACCCCCTGCCACATGCAGGGCCATCAACCTCCCCATTTCATACCAGCCCAGGCTGCCCAGGGCCCCATCCAACCTGGCCTTGAACACCTCCAGGGATGGACGGGGCATCACAGCCTCTCTGGGCAGCTGTTCCAGCACCTCACCACTCTCTCTGTAAAGAACTTTCCCATCATCTAATCTAAACCTGCGCTCCTCGAGCTTGAAATCGTTCCCCACATACATTGTGTCCATTTTCTCCCTTTTCCTCCATTCCTACGCCCTGTAGTCACCATAGGCACACGATACAGACCACAGGATCCACCAGGCAGAACACACAACCGTGTGTTATTTGAGGTACTTCTCAGATGGCAGAGCAATGAAAGGCTGTTGAATTTGCCTTTCCAAAGCCATTTAAAACAGTGAGCATAAATAAAGCATCTTAAATAAATAGACAGAAATCAAAGTCAGGCTCTTGGGTGGTTTTTGCTATTTTTGTTGTTGTCGTTTGAACTAATGATCTCTTCATTAGAGTCAATATATTTATTTGGTTTCCTGAAACATTTCTCTAGGCGTTAATTCATTAAAATAAATAAATAAATAAATAAATAAATAAAAATAAAAAAAATCTATCTTACCTAAAAAACAGTGACCTGAAATCTAACACAAATTCTCGCTTTATATAATCTAGCATTCTTTCAGTTCTTCTGCAATCCCTGTATACATTCTTCATTTTAATCAAAGGTAATACTAACAATAAACAACAGAAAAGTTTCCTTCACTTCCCAACAGCATCAATTCTCAGTGAAGACTTGCAGCTTGAAACCAATTTGTCTAGTGGATGATAGCATGCATACCTTCAAGCCTTCCCCATCTGTCTTGTGAAATTAAAGTTAGCAAATTCTTCAAATGTGAAACATTGGTGGTTTCAAAAACTATGCAGTAAGTGCAAGATTCTAGAGGCAGCAAAATTAGCAAAATGCAATGGCATGGTAAAAACAAAAATAAAATTTCTATTAGACAGATGTATCAACGATTTTCAAGGATCTTTTATGATGAAACAACTGTGGAAAAAATTGTTAAAATGGACAACAGTGTATTAATAACGGACATCATGAGGTAAAAGCATTTACTTACATCATTTAATCTGTACCATTCAACTCAAAGGATTCATTGCCTTTACCTACATTTTTCACAGGAGGATAAACGTATACTGAAGCATTCTCAGCAAAATATTCCTTGTGCCTATACATAATACGAACATGTCCTTTGTGATACAAAGATTTAAGAGCCAGATTTTCAGTACTGTAAGTTAACTCCGCCTTTTTCCTTTCAACCTTCACCATAAATAGGGACTACAGTAACTAACCACATTCTTAAGCTCGTTTAGTAGTCAGGAAATTTCTCTAATGTGAAGATTCTCCTTTATCACACAAAAAAGTTTCTTTCAGCAATGCAGTTGAACAGCTTTATTATTTTAAAAACTTGTAAACTCAGATCAACACTAAAATATTTTCATAATAAGTCAAACTGGCCAAGAAACTCCAGAATATATTAATCTTCGTCTAAAACGCATATTTTTCTTAATATTGTGCACATGGTGCAGCACTTCAAAGGAAGATTCACAGAGAAATATTAATAATTGGCATATGACTTACGATTATCTAGAAATATCCCCAGAATAGTTGCCTTTGAAGACATCACAACAATGACAATGTTTAAGTAACTAGTTACTTCAATAAGTAATTTTCTCCCTTCTCCTCTCCTTACATAGAGATGAAGTTATGGATTTCACTAACACAAACAGTTTGTATCATGATAATTTGAAAACATAGCAGCATTAAAAAAGGCAAGTATATTAATATTGCTAAGTATTTCAGATAAATTTTTCACCCTGTAATCATCTCTTCAACTTAATAAAGGCCGTTCAGCAACTTTTGTCACCAGCTATGCTTTAGAACTCCTGTTTTGAGTTGGTTGAGAAGTATTCAGATTGTAGATGTAAACAATTACTGTTTTCTGTCTACTGTCATAGTGCTTATATCTTCACCAGTTTCAGTTATTTTAAGTCCAAGAAGTATATCATTATTACTACCAAATTCACTGACCAAACAGCAAATGCTTTGCACAGATTTTATTGTGGACTTTCATGACTGAAATACCCCTCTGGGTGCTACTCTTGCTCCATTGGTCAATACCCAGTACAAAATAGATCTTAATATTTGAGATGGGGTATCAATCCCAGGGAATTATTTCATCTCTAACATCCGAGAGTCTCTCGTGGCTTTTGTTTTATTATTCAAACCTGTCACTTTACTCCTGTATATATTCCCATAATATATCCTAAACTATCTTACTCTCCTCCGTGAGAAACACACGCAAGAGACAAGATGTCCTTTTTCATTCTTTCTTGAGCACTGTAATTCCATTTCATTTCACCATGCGGCCACTCACCTGAAACATGATGAGAAAAAATAAATTCTATCACTATTCTGCTGGAAATGCCAGGGCACAAGCTCTACAAGAAAATCATACATTCACAATGATCACTAGTATTGTATTTCAGAAGTTGCCATCACGTGGCAAATACCTTCCAATATAGATGCACAGAAGCAATAATCCTTCCTGAGAGTTCCAGCACTACAAGAAGAATGATTATTATCCAAGGGTCACTGAAGAGAAAAAAGAAGCTTATCTACTTAATATCGTAGATTAGGACAGGATTTGATAAGTTACAAAACCAATGTTACAGGTTACAAAATCTACAAGACAAGTAGAAAACATAACAAAAAGCAGTTGTAGAGGTGGGATTAAGAGAGAGAGACCTAAACCTATCCAGTATTTCCCTTTTCACTGTCCACCCAACACTTTTATATTATGTTTATATATATTTATATTATGTATATTTTTGCATCTGCTTAGCTTGCTTCATTTGTGAGCTCAATCAAGGAACCAGGAGCAATCAGACAATCTTGCAAAATACATTTTCCTTTGTTCTTTTTGCTTTAATCAGACTTCATTCAGCCTGTTATTCCATGTAATAACTAAACCCTTGCCTGTGTTTTTCATTACATGAACTAAATCACAATAAAATACGTGCTGTCCCAAATATTCAACTCAGAACAGCAAAGCCTGAAAGTGATGGGGCAGGGTTGGGGAGTGGAACAAAACTGGGGGAACTATTGCCCACTCTTAATCCCCCTCACCACTCGTGCATTTACTCACCATTAAGATTTAAAAGTCGTATCTTAGGTTATCTTCAATTCCCTGGTAAAAAAAATAAAAATAAAAATGCATTGTCCAATTTAATTAATCATCTAACTCCTCCTTCAGGCGAGTGAAAAAATACACTATAAAGCATTTTTAATGTGTACAAAGGATGCATTGAAATGTATGTATATATAAAAGAAACTGTTGATTCCGCTGATAACTGCATCACTCCCTTCACGTAATGCAGTGAAATTACAGAAATTAGGCAGATAAAGCTTCCATCCAATTAATCTATTTTAAAACGAACTGTGCTTGAAGCAATGCTGCTTCGTGGAGTAGCCAACAGGTAAGACCTTTAAATATTGTGTTGTGAAAAAAATTTCTCAAAGATTTTTTGGGGAGCACACATCGTTTTTCACAATTTCTCCAGTATAAATGATTTTTTTTTCATTATTATCTCATTGTTAGGTTAACTATAAAGCATGCTCCATTAAACAAGGAGTTCACAAAATACGTGATTTTCATTACCTCAGGAAAAACCTCCTTACCCAGAAGTAACTCCTTTTTATGGCATCACGAGATATCTACTAAAATCACGTTCAATGAAAAGATGTAACTGAGATTGAATTTTAATCATCAGAATAATCACTGAGAACACCTTCTTCGTTTTCACCACTGTTAAGCACATGGAATCTACAAAGCAAGCAATTAGAGAAGTAAAATTTAACTATATATTCCAAGTTATGGGAACCTTCTCGTGACTTCTATGTTGTAGTGCAAAATAAACCTAAACATACTGTGCTCAAAACTTAGACTTCGATGTGTCCCCAGACAACCAGTTTCCACAGGGTCTTGGAAATCTGGTGTTCTTGCCCTCAGCTTGTGAGTCTCCAACTATTCCAGTGACACTATTATACGTAGTACACACTTACAGGAGCCTGGGTGAATCACCAACAAAAAAATCCACTCCAGAAAATAATCATCTTGGTTGCAAGATCTTTAACAACCTGTGATTGTTAAAGTAACCCTGAGGGGGGAAAAAATCCCAAATTTAAATATCAGGAAAATTAAAAAAAAAAAAAAAGTTCAGCAAATGGTACAGAAATTATGTATCAACATTAAGAATACATATTTATTGTTACATGTAGTCTATATGTATAAAAAGCGTTTCTTATATATATGCACAGTAAGTTTCCTAACTGGATTTTGTAATAAAAGACCTTGAAAAAAATGTACTTCATGTGCAAATACCTGTAATGTGAGCCAAACAAAAGGCCAGCGGATCAGCATTATAAAAACACAGAAATCATTCAGCTTTAAGTTTCATAAACATAAGCTGTCTGGAAAAGAAAATGGTAAGATGTAAACAGAATACAGGTGTTAAAGCAGTCAAAGACAACTATACAGACGTTTGGTTTTTATTTTTATAAAAAAAGATCAGATTTATTAGTGCCAATGTATGTTCATAATAAGGTAACAGAAACTAAGCTAATCTGAGTAGCAACTTACAAGAAAGGATATCAAAATAGTATTTCTTGTAGAGTGAAACATAATACTTTTAACTTGGTTCTTGCCAGCTAGAAGTCCCATTATCTGTCTATGAAGCCTTTAAAGAAAAGTTGCTACAGTCAAATGGGGTCCTGATAGAACTTGGCACATAAAGAAACAATTCAGTGTTCATCCATACAATACCTCTCACTCCCCTGAAGCAGTCATACATACAATACTTACATAAAGCATATACATTATGACTAAAGCCATGTACGGCCTAAAGCACATAGAATACCTCAGTTCTAAACGTAACATATCTCTACATCAAAAGCAAGTCACTGTGTATTTACAGGCAGATGATCTCATTCTGCAGATGGGGATTTTGCTTGAAGATCCTTCTATTAGCATATGCTAAAATGTCCGAGTCATTGACTTATTTATCAAATTAGAGGTGTATCCACAGGAAGATCTGTCTGATAGTGTGCGAGGATTCTAAGGCAATAGTAGGAGTTGTTCCACAGGACTAGTGCTGCCATTGCAACCTGCCCTCCCTCGGAGCAGCAAAGCCTTCCTTCTCTGGATTCAGCCAGGCATAGTGAGACATTCATGATCTTGCAAGCTGTTGGCTCAAAAGTCTAAAACTTCTCGTTGGTTGTTTTTGTTGTTGCTGCTTTTAGTGTTCACGGAATAGCACCATAGGAATTCACGCTTGATAAGAAACAAATCCAGGGTCCACTGTTTTGTTTTGCTTTTTTTTGTCATCACAGATACTCTTCCTTTCAGAAAAAAAATATATATCTTAAGGAAACCTCCCACTTGGATGCTACTATAGCTTCATTTCTGATTAGCTAAACAAGACAATTAGCTCATTAACAAAGAGGTCCAACGAAATAAAGCTTTGCAGTGGCTCCAAGTGTACTGTTAAAAACAAATTCAGTAGGAGTTTCAGACAAAACTATATCTCATGGATACAGATTTGATTGATGACAGATTTTCATCTCAGTCTATATTCTACGTTCAGTGCAAAATAAGAGCACATCATCAGACATAGCTTACTTAATCAGCAAACCTAACATTTTCAGATGCTTACATTGTTCAACTTCAGTTAACTAGTGATCGGTCAAGCTAATGATGACCAATGTAACAGTTCAGACTTCTCAGTTGTAAGTAAAACAAAATACTCTTTACGTTTCAGAAGTAAGATTTTCCAGTTTCAAAATGCTGATAACCTGATATGACAGACGAGCAGGTAGAAACTACAGAGCAATGTGGGAAACCTTCCAATTTCATATCTTCTTTCAAGTCTTTATACACACTGTCTGCAGGATATGAAGTTAAAGCAAATAGATATAAGGACAGTATTTTGAGTGCATGACCTGAAACAGCTTTTTTTTTTTTTCTTTTTTCCTTTTCTCCTGGACACCATACAGCTGTCAGAAGGAAGAATGTTTCGGAGAGTCACCTCACTTGAACATAGTTGAATGTTCACTTATCTATGACAAATGTCAAACCACGAGCAAAAGCTTTCATATTCTCCTGGAAGTGTGCAAAGTCCTTTCACCTCCTTTGCAGAGACAGTCAAGTATGGAGCCTGCACATCACCGTCTCATGTATTCCACGGGGATAGGTATTTATTTTTTTGTCTCTGGTCTTTTAAGTCATCAATTTCAATTGGACTCATAGAAAAACATTTGTGCTAGTAACTTCAGTTAAATAAAAAAGACATCACTTCCTTTCCACTGTGCATTCTTTTTTGTCTTGCTCTCCTTCTCTTGAATAGAGGTTCTTGTGCTATTTTTTGGTGTGCACACTATCTGGATATTTTATACTTCTGTATCGTATATGGAATCCTTTCTTGTTGATTGTATCATCAGTGTGAAAGTGAAGTAAAAGAGTTTCCCCTGCCGAATAGATTTCTTCTGGTGGCTAAAATAAATTAAAAACACACAAACAAACAAACAGTAAGTAAATCATCTGTTGACCTAAATTCCTAAAAGCTGGACACCAGTTTAAATCAAGATATTTGAATTTCTGTCTGCCGGTGGAAGTTCCATCCATTACAATTTTGGGGGGTCGTACTAGTATCCAACCTTCCACTATCTTGAGCTCTGGGCCTGAACATTATCTATTTAAATGCTGTAAACAACTTTTTGAAGCAACAGATGAGTACATTATAAATGCTTTCTGGGTACCTCTTCCCCATAATGTGACTTCACTCAAATATATGGAATTTGAATGTGTTAATTTTCAATACCAATGCATTTCTCTGTAAGGGAAAATGCTTCCAACTTTTCTAAAGGAACTGACATATGTTCTACTGTCAGCGACTTAAAACTTAATGTACTATAACAATACTTTGTTTAATAAATAGACAAGAATATTTACTGTGGAAAACATTTCAGTGAAATGCTTTCAAATGCCATATCTGTAAATTCCTTTTTTTAAAAAAAAAAAAAGATTAGATAACTTGTTATTTCATTCTAACATCTAGTAACTTAACCTAATCTCTCCATATCCTTTTCCTTCCTATGCCACTTCCTTCTTTCTATTACTTTCTGTGGAAATAAAAAGAAAAGCTTTAGTACTTGATTACTTACCCCAGAACCACAAAATCGACCAAGTCTCATAGCTGTCTTATCGTGACCATCAAAGAGCTCCACATAATCATAACCACAGTCGGCCTCTTCTTCAACCTCAAAAGTCTGGAACATTAATTCAACTCGATAGCCACGCTCCGCCACCAGGAGCCAGTCACAGTCTGCCTGAACCGGATAGTTGTTATCACCAAACTGAGCATGCGAGTACAGATCTTTGGGCTTGGTTTCAGCTTTCAACCGACCACCACACTCTGAAAATTAAGGGGGAAGAAGTAGACTAAGCTTATTCAGTGAAAATTATTATTTTTTTTTTCCATAATCAGAGGATGCATAGAGTAGAGTACCATCCAGAATGAAGACAGACTCACTATTCCAATTTTTTCCAATCACATCGTTTTCTCTTTTCTTTTAAATATCTACATAGACTTGTGTATATTTCATAATTTTCAAGTAAACTACTAAAAGACAGGGAAAACAAAAGTTATAAGGAAAGTGGTACAAAAGGATGAACATTCTTCAGGTAGACACTTGAGAACAAGCCAAAACCTCTAAGTGGGGTGTCCACCATTCAGTGGCATCAGCCCTTCTGCATGGATTAATGACAGAAGTGGCAGGGACACGACAGCTTTAGCAGATGCAGCTGGTGATCAGCATGAGCTCATGCATTTGCCCTGTCTTACATAAGAGTGTCAGATTTAATCTTCACACTGTGCTTGGAGAACCAGCTCTTTACTAAACAGCACAACTAACCTTGCTAGCTTGTTTGCTATGTAGTACATGGACAAGTCTTTGCAAAAAGATCCTGGCTTGGAAAAAAACTGCTACAACCAGCAGAAGTCTTGCAGTTGTGAAAGTCTTTCAAGCAACTCCTAAGCTGAAGATCCCTGCCCTATGCCAAATCCAAATTTTCATTATAAAACTTGGTTTTATACACAAGCATAAAACATATCTTGCTTTTGAGACTGTTTATAACTACTTAACGGGTTTGTAATTTAAATAAGACTTTGTGGTGTAGTCCAGAACACTGTTCTTTAGCCAGCTTGAACAAGGAGAACAGACACTGCTGGAAATGCATGGAATAACAGCAAACAAATACAGGTGCTATTTCTCTATCCATTCCTTATTTCACTGGCTATAATTAAAATTTGTTCATTATTGCACATACCGAATGAATTTTTAAGTTAATTTAAACAAAGGTGCTATGCATTTCCCAATTAAAGTGTCACGACAAGGTAATTTAAAAGAAAAAAACCTCACTTTTAAAGTTTACAAGAAATGGGTGGAGGCTATTATTTGTAGCTATGAAAATTTCAACACAGCAGCATTTAGCTTATGCCTTGGCTTCTTACCAAGAACAGTCCACCCCTTACAATGCCCACAAAACCACCAAGTGCAAGAAACAAAGCCTGAGATTCACAAGTTAACATTTCTTTATAGGTTACTGATCAGACAAGTCTAACTAAATTTTGACTGAATGCAGGTAATAGAAAATGGCTATTTCATTGTAATCCAAAACAAGCTGAAAGATTCAAGCATTTCTATGATTTAATGAGAAAATTTGACCTCAATGGCACTGACTTCATCCACACCAAAAATGACCAATTGCAATGCTGTACCAAAAGGAATCACACTTAAGCTGGGAAACAATCGTAAAATCATAGAATCACCACGGTTGGAAAAGACCTCTAAGATCATTCAGTCCAACCTGTCACCAATATTTCCCCCCTAAATCACATCCCTCAGTACAACACCTAAAAGTTTCCTGAACATCTCCAGGGATGATGACTCCATCCCCTTCCTGGGCACTCCATTCCAGCACCTGAACTCTCACCGCTGGCTCATGTTCAGACGAGTGTCAATCAATACCCCTAAGTCCATTTCCTCTACACAGTCTTCCAGCCACTCTGCCCCAAGCCTTTAACGTTGCCTTGGGTTGCTGAGGCAGCTTCTCCAGGAGAACACTGTGGGAGGCAGAGTAGAAGGCTTTGCTAAAGTCCAGGTAGACTATGTCAACAGCCTTTCCCTCATCCACCAGACAGGTCACACAATCACAGAAGGAGACCAAGTTGGTCAAGCAAGGACCAGCTCTCACGAACCCATGCTGGCCAGGCCAGATCCCCCAGGTGTCCTTCAAGTGCCATGCGACCTCCCTCAAGATGATCTGCTCCATAACCTCCCTCGCACCAACGCCACGGTGAAAGGCCTGTAGTTTTCTCGATCCTCTTTTCAATCATTCTTGCAAATGGAAGTCACGCTGGCAAGTCTCCAACCCTCCAGTTGACCAGGACCACCGATAGATGATGGAAAGCAGCTTGGTTATCACATCCACCAGCTCCCTCAGCACCCTCAGGTGGATCCCAGCCAGCCCCCATGGACTTGTGGCACTCCAGAAGGAGCAGTAGGTTCTGACAGTTTCCACCTGAATCATGGGGAGTTTATTCTTCTCCCCATCTAACACGTCCAGGTCAGGGGGAGAGTACTCCCAGCATATATCAGGGAACTTGAAGCGCCCCCATGAGAACAAAGGCTGACAACAGTGCAACTTCTGCCAGCTGCTTATAGAATGCATCATCTGCCTCTTCATTCTGGTTAGGCATTTTAATTGGGAAATGCATAGCACCTTTGTTTAAAATAGGTTGTAAGACTTTATATAGGTCTTATAACAGACCCCCACACCAGGATGTTTGCCTTGTCGCCCTGCCCCTGATCCCTACTCCTAGAGACTCAACCTTATCATTCCTGACCCAAGCTCAACATCAAATCACTCTCTAACATAGAGAGCCGCACCACCACCCGTTCTGAAGAGCTTGTAGCCATCCATTGCAGCACTCCAGTCAGGGGAGCAATCCCACCATGTTGCTGTAATGGCAACTAACTCACTGTTTGCCTGCCACACAACAGCATCCATTTCCTCCGGTCTGTAGTCCATGTTGTGTGCATTGGTTTAGATGCACTTCTGCTGAGCCCCGTGCCTCACCCCCAGTCCTGTAACTGTTCCCTTAGGCTCATCTCTAGTAGGCCTGGTTTTATTCCCTTCCACCTTCATACCTACTTTAAAGCCCTCTCAATGAGCCCTGCCAGCTGCTGGGCAAGGATCTGTTTTCCCTTTAGAGACTTGCAAGACCCATCTGCAGCCATCAGGCCAGGTGCCAGGTAATAATGACAATAATGAGCAAATCATTTTTTTTTTTTAAATGTGTTTTTTCTTAGCAAGCGAATGAAAGAGTCCAAACAGGAAATATGAATAATGTAAGTAATCTAATCTGTTTATGCATGATCTATTATTGAATCTCATTTTTTAAAGTCCTACTTTAAAAGACATAAAATAAAAGGCACATGTTAAAGAAAATATGCAAAATGAGATAGTTCAACCATTTATTTCTTGTTGTTACTCTCACTAACTGATTATTCTTTCCTTTTTTCAGTATTTGATTTCATTTACGTTTTTATGACTTCGTTTTCTCGACTGGAGTGTTGCCAACGCTAAGAACATCTCCCTGCTTCAGACACAGAACAGCTGCTATAGAAGAAAATGTTTAATGAACTGTCTGCATTGTTTCCTTCTTTTTTGCTACAGTGGACATGACTTTAAAGGAAAGCTGTTGCCATACCAGCAACCACAAAAAAATGGCTATTCCCTTTCATAGAATGGTTTGGGTTGGCACAGACCTTAACGATCTTCTAGTTCCAATCATGTGCTGCAGGCAGATGTGCCTCTTACTAGACCAGGTTGCCCAAAGAAATCCTTATCCAATCAGGGATCGAGCATCCATTGCTTCTCTGGGCAGCCTGTGCCAGTGACTCATCAAGTTCTGAGTAAAAAAACTTCTGAATATGTAAAAGTCATCACCCCTTTTCCTACCACTGCATTCCCTGACAAAAAGTCCCTCTCTAGCTTTTCCTGCATGTCCCTTTAAGGTACTGAAAGGCCTACAGATCTCCCCAGTGCCTTCTCCAGTCTGAACAACACCGAATCTCAAATTCTCTCTTCATGGGAGAGGTTCTTCAGCTCTCTGATCATTCCTGTTGCCTTCTCTGGACTCTCTCTACCATGTCCTTCATATTTCAGGGGCCCCCACAGCAGAACACGTTTCCTCTGCCCTTCTCCCATGGACTACAGCCTTTTACTGTTTTAGAATAAAATATCCTGAGAGTCCCATTTTAGAAATTCAAAGTTTTTTTTTCTTCCCTTAAGGACTAAGTTGTACTTTCAAAAGACTACTTTTGCAGTGCTGATTTAGCCTGTATGACACAGACTATGATGGGGTTACATCAGAGGGCAATGCCAGACAGCTGGGTTTAGTCTAGGTATCATTACCTGTACTGGTCATCAAAGAGTTTTGCAGGTGTGTCTGTTGTGCTGTAAAGGCAATGTGCATATCTGATTGTACACAAATATGTCTGACCTGTAAGGTATTATTTTTATAATAGCTTTACATGGGAGATTTTTTCTAGATCAGTTAAGAAGCAAGAAGATTTTAGGTATTTCTTGAGGTCTTTTAGGTTCTCTCAGACTTCTTACAACGATAACAGAAAATGGAGCAGTTGTCTCTTGACTGACAAGCTGGATAGATGGGAAAAGGTTTAAGCTTAAAACCCACTACCTCCCACTCCACCTGAACAAGTGAAACAAGAATATAAGTTAGATACAGCATTGCCATACTGAATTCTCAAAGCCATTCTAGTAGCGAATTAAAAGCTTAAACTCAGAGGTATCTGAGATACCTGGATTTGTTCCAGGGTTGGCACATAAGAATAGGACCTACAACAGATCTGGAACCTCCTGCAACAGCAGCTTGTGACCAGGTAACATAAACAAAGCTGCCTAGAAGGGATATCCAGGTGTTTAAGCAACCAAATCACTCCTTAATCAAGGATCTTTAATTTTCTGTTGGGAGGAATTTTATGAATTCCTTCTTAATGAATTTCCCTTCTATGTTACATTTCAAAAACAGTACTTAGTAAGTTTTGCTCTACCTGAGGAAAGTCTTTTTACTCAATCTGTTTTTTGATTCTTTATTGCTGCTATATAGTTCTATCCAGAAAAGCATAAGAAAATAAAATCCATAGTTTAAACACTTGTTAGATTCATTAATGAATGTGTCCAAAGCATGCAGGTAATATTCCTATGGAACAACTGTTTTGGCCTCAAAGCTGCAAGATCTAAGCTGTCTCTCATTCAGGCGGTTCACCAAAGCTTGTACTAATGACATGCTGTTCAACCTAATGAGCATTTTGTACAACAGCAGACCAGAGAAACAAATGTCCTGGTTCTGCTTTACAAGGCAAACTTCATAATTTTTACAGCACTCTTAAAAACTGGACAGATTTCATTCTCCAGACTTCCTCAGAAGAGCACTATTATGCTTGCTCAGACAGTTTTTACAGTTAAGGCATTAAAAAGTCAGCACTTTTATTTGGTAGTTTCACACCAGCTGTTCCTAACAAGACTTCTGACCTCTAATTACTTACCTCATGGTAATTTAACAAATGAGTAATTGTTACCATTTCTTTCTAGTTTTCTGCTGAAGGGTTACTCAGGTAGGGAATGCTAACAAAGATGTTTGTAAAAAGGCTTCTCAACAAGAAAAACATAAATTGAATGACAGGCAGTTAAGCTTTTCCCTTTTCAGGCCCAGATCATGAAAAGTAAAAACAGTGCATACGCTGTCTCCTACTGCTTTTCTCTGAAAATTTAATTAATACAGGTTTAGAATTATTCTTAACAAAGGAAAAAAAAAAAGAGAGAGAAAATGTTAATGCTGCTATACGAGGAATTTTCAGTCAAGCACTGCACGTCGAGAAAAAAGTAAAAGGAAAGGGAAGGAATATACTGAGGTAGGGAAAGCGAAAATACAAAGAAACAAATAAAACACAAAAAAAATCCACCCTGTTTTACAGCAGGCAGTGGAAGTTCAGAGATTGAGCACTAGGGGCCACTGTAAGACAAACAACGCCAGCAAAATCACTCGCTCACATTGAAAATGCCCTTATCTATTAATGCAACTGCGTTTTCAATTTCAGTGATTTCTGACCGACAACAAAATTAAACGGTAAATGGGAAGGAAATGACTCTCCCAAACTCTCCAGGCAATTTTTGGTATTGTTTTTCCTACTCTTCTTTTGCTTGTCTTTCCCTTTATAGCTCTGCAGGAAAGTAATAGCTGTTTATAGAAAGCCCAGGCTCTTGTTTAAGTTAGAACAAAAAGTAATAGAGGTGCATCACATGCCTCAGTGAAGTACTGCCATTTAAAATACAATGAAAAGCTATTGAAACTTTAATAAACTAATGAATCCTGTGAAATATCTCTTAGACAAACTTATTTATATCAGATCATGTTTAAAAATCTTTTAATCATTTCCTTAGAAAACTGAAAGAGAAAGCAAGAAGGAGAAAAAGAAAAAATGGGAGACAAAAAGAGAGAAAGAAACGTCTGAAATACTAGAGAATGTTTTCTGCAATCTCCAATTTTTCCTACTGTTCCATTAGGTTTTTTGTAACACTGTGTTATCTTTGAAATCATCCTGTTCCTATAAAAAGAAATGCTTGAATATCTTCCACTAAAGAACGAAAGGGAAGTTATTAGTAAGCCACATCCTGATATTCTGACCTGTAGAGTGTGTTGCTTGGAAGCCTTTCCTTTGAACTGATGCATCAGAAATGAAGCGGAGAAACATTTTGTTTCCAGTAGCAATGAGAGGCTCTGGTATCTTACTGCCACACAAACGTCCCAGAATTGGCGACTTTTCACTTTCACCATCAAACACTTCCAAGTGGTCATAGGCACATTCTTGATGTTGTTCTATCTCAAATTCATTGAAAGTCTGGGGAAAAAGAAGCAAAATGAGTCAATGCAGTACTGTATTTACAAGGTACATATGTAGTGCTGGCATACTGTTTCAGAACACAAAGTAGAAACAACAGATTATAGCAATACTGCTCCTACAACTCCGTAGGTCAGAATCACATCTTTCCAGCCAATGAATATCTGTTTTAAATCTAGACAACTGTGGCCTTTCTTTAGAGTAACTACTCTTTATAGGATTATTCCAAATTTCACAGAACATTTGAAACAGAGCAAAAAGCAGGAAGTCTTCTGGTGCCTCAGATAACTGAGGCCTTGGAGCATCTGTGAACCATAATACTTTTCTTTTTTTTCTTAACCTTGCTTCACAACTGAAGTCTTTGAGAATGACCTTTCCACATGCCTGCTTATATGTGATAATTTTAATTCCTCATCTATTATTAATGATGGAATTTCTATTATTACTACACTAACAATACTTCAAGCTGCATCCTTCGTGCTAACATCACATTTTTGCTAGTGCAACTACGAGAAATGGGAAAGTTATTTTGATTAAATTTATTATATATAAAGAATTAAATATTTCAGCAGACTACTTTACTTTCTTCAGCTCCCCCATGATTCAGATTACTGCAACAGTCTGAACACAATTTCAAATTGTGTTCATTTCAAATCTATGATGTTTCTTCTACACTTTGAAACATTTGTTTTAATTTCTGTGTTCCTAGGGAAGCTCGTCAGGAGAAATTCAGTTCTATTAAAAAATGCAAATTGTGGGCCATTTGAAACAGAGCCTGAGCAACAATCTCATGAAAATTTCTGCAATTTAGACTTCTTCGAGCATCTAAACAAAGGCATTTCCCAAATGTGTATGTTGCACCCTACAGAAACTGTTAAAGCACAGAAAAGTAACAGTTGCTTTTCAAACAAGGAAGAGTGTCTTCCAAGACCAAACAAGTGGCAATAAATTTACGTTAAGAGAACATCTAAAAGACTTCAGATATGGCTTTTTGACCAGGGCCAAGTATGAACCTGATTAAAACGCTGGTACTTTCGCCTCTCTTACTGAGAATGTAATATACATACACAGCTTTGTGAATTGTTTTTTTTACAAATAAACTACTGTTCAAGGCAGAATTGAAAATATGAAAACACAAAGTAAAAGTGCTCTTGCGAGTACTCACACGGCTGAGTAATCACATAGCTACAAAACAAACAGACAAAAAATACCAAACAATGAAGAAGTTACATAAAAATACAAAACAAAACAAAAAATCTCCTGCCAGTTACTGAACAAATATCATAATTAAGCATTGTACTTGGCACACCAAAGGAAATCCAACCTACAGAGTTCCTTGTGGAATCCAGCCAATACAAAATGTGATAATTTATATTCAACAGCTGATATAAAAGAAATATCAACTGATAACATATGAAGCCCTTTTCCCAAAGAGCCAGAATAATAAAATAGTACATAAGTTGCTTTGAAAGCAGTGCCTCCTGTTTATTTCCATAGAAACTGCAAGAGATACAAAGAACACAATAGCACCACTTGATAGATCAAGTTCTCAGCTACAAATCAGGATTTTTCAACATAGCTGCCACCATTAGCTGTGGATCTTCCCCAGAGATGAACAAGATCCTGCATGCCACTCTTGTAAAAACCTGCATGGCCATCCACAACATGGCTTGTGTTCACATCGCTGTCACCACTGCAGAAACACAGCACTCACTGCCTCACTGTGCTCTCTCATCCACTGTTTGGTCTCCACAAACATTCAGTAAGAGCAGATGAATGTCAATAGATGCCATTTTTTCCTTGTGGAAAATTCAGTTCCTTTGCTTCACACACCCTCCCACGTCAGACATCATTCGTCAGACTGCTCTTCTGCTGCCTCTGTCACACAGTAACATGTAATGGAATATTGGCAGGAAAGTTCAACCTCTACTGCCGTAACACTGACATCTGCCTCTGATGTCATGAGCCACCATTTTAAAACAGGAGGCATTAGTTTTGGAGCAGCCTTCATATTTTCAGTCTGTGAAAAGTGGAAAGTTGAACAAAACGGTAGACATTGGTTCACAGCACAGGAAACTCAGTGTTTTCTATTAAGGGAACAAAACTGTAGAAGCAGTGAAAACAGCTGTACAGCAGTTCCTCCTGCTGCTCCTACTTCTATGATGCCAAGTATGTACAATTGTTTATACCCAATAAAATTAAAAAAAAACCAGCAAAACAAAACAAGTGAGACTAACTGTAAAGGAGTTATTTACAAAATTGAGAGAAGCCAATTTTCAGTCAGTGAAAGCAACAGTGGGAGCAACAGACGTGATCCAGTTTCCAATTTTTTTTAGTTTATCTACTTCTAATCAGCACAAATGCATCACTTGCTAGAAAAAAACTTCTCACCATGAACTTTAAGAAATGTCTATTATTTTCCTTCTTTTTTTTTCTTTCCAATTAACACTGCAATTCCTAAACCACCAGGAAGACAATATATCTTATGCTGAATCCCGCAAGGGAAAACAGAAAACATTTGTACATCTGTGCAGTCTAGTTCTTAAATCTAGAAATTATAAGTGGAATCAAAGAAAATGTATTTAAAAGGAAACACAAGTCGAATATTTCTAAGCATTCTGAGATAATCTGCTTCTTTTTTCAGAGGTTAGTTCCTAACTATGGACTATGAAGAGGCTTGTAAGAGAAGAACTAACACGAACTTCTTCTCTACCATTTAGTGTCAGCAGTGTTCACAAATTACTTAATAAATTTGGAAATATAATTAAATCACACCTGGCCTTTCCTGGGACAAATACTTTTGAATATCTATTCCTCCACCACTACAGTCCCCACTTCGGTTGTCTTATTAGTGGGAATGGTACTCAGAAGTGTTACGTACAGTTTCCGAACAGCCAGCCTTTCTATCTATCCGTAGCACTTACTGGGTTGATATGTTGGTGGCACTTACAGACAGCTGCCTGAATGGGACACTTCAGTCTGTCTCTTATAAACATCCGGCTGATTAACCTAAGAAAATTTCTCTCTGATACAGCTATTTTCAAAGCCATCTTTATCTGCACGTTTCATTTAAAAATTCAGAAGTGCATTTCTTTTTTTTTTTTTTTGTCTTCTTAATTACACCAAATGCTTAACTCTACCCTTCTCAGGAAGAGACTTCAGTGATTATCAGAGTGAGAACAATCAGAAGTGATTAGTTTCTGCACAGACAGACCCCTCAGAAAATGAAACAGCCTCACAATTCACATGGTTTGTCAGCATAATGAAATCAATTCTCTACTTGTTTAATTTGTTTAAGTAAACCGTGAGGAATAAACTTGAATACAGTATGGAAGCCCCAAAAAAATTTTTTTTATCTATAGTGGAATTATTGCTTTAATATTATTAATATGACATTTTGCTGCACTAGACAGATTTTAAAGATCATACACGTGCAGAATTCAGTAGGCTGACACTACTGGCCATAGAAAAGTGGATTTCAGGTTCTAAATCATGGGGTTATTTTTTTAAATTTTATTTCACAAAATTTAGTAAAAAAATCAGTAAAATTCTGTTGCTTTCTTTTTTTTTTCTTTTCTTTCTTTTTTTTTTTTTTTTTCAAAATTCACTGGCAAAAGATCATTTTAAATACCTTTCTTTTAGAAAAGTATGGAAAAAAGATTTTTACAGCAACATGCCCCTGCAAACGTCTGACTGGCTTCTGCTTATGCAGACGGGATGAAGTACTGTTCATAGTTGACAGTAAGGAAGGACATCTGAAACAAAAACCTGTTTTTCACCCTTAGGACGAACAGATCATGCACTGCTTGTTCCACACCTCCTACTCCGCAGGAACATACTAAAATTTTTAATTCTGGAGATCTGGAATCAACAAATGACCACACATCAGCACCAGTAACAAGGGGTTATGGCTGTGGTTAAGGTCAGGAGTTATGAGGTGGCAATATCCCATTCAGCCCCATAACAATTTAGGCTACTGCTTCTACTTTCTTACAGCAGAGATACATCTCTTCTTTGGTTTCCTCGCTCCAAAATTTCTGATACATCAATTTCTCTCTCCTTCCATCTAACACATTCACATTGCTAAGACCTTCAGGACAAAGCCTGTGCATGTCAGCACTGCCCAGGGAGGTGCTGGAGTCACTGACTATGGAGGTGTTCGAGGAACGTTTGGATGTTGTGTTGAGGATGTTTGGACGTTGTGTGGTTTAGTGAGAACAATTGGTGATGGGTGGATGGTTCGATTGGGTGATCTTGTGGGTCTTTTCCAACCTTGGTGATTCTATGAGTCTTTCTCCTGAGTATTACTGTAGCATGTCTGTTTATTGCTTTAATACCTGTGAGGAGGACTCTGCATACTCATGCTAATATCATTTCTTTAGAACTAAAAAGCCCTATTTTGGATAAGTGAAAGATGTGGAACAATGGGACGAATTCCTTCACTGCTGAACCAAGGAATCATTTGCTACAAATACTGTAGAGAGCTACAGGGCTCACCCCTAAGTACCCTGGGCTGAAAAAGCCCTGGGGCTGAGCTCAGAGCAGATAAGCCCTATGGGCAGATCCATGGCACTGGCTTTGTGCAGATGCTACTCACCAATTTGACCCTCTGCCCAGGGGTGGCACTGATTTCCCAGGTGCACTCCTTTCTGCTGGGATACTTGTCGGGCCAGTTGGGACTTGTAATGATGCCATTGGGACTGTGGATCTTCTGTTCACACTCAGCTGTGCCAATATGAGAGCATCAATTAGTCTGGGAGTTCTCTATTCAGAGGTAGCCAGAAAAGTACACTGTTTGTCAGGTGACCCACTGAACTGAAAGATCATTAGGAACATAGCTAAACACCCTCCCAAGTGTGAAGGATCACATTCCTCCTCTGACAAACATTTATGGCAACTAACCTAGCATGTTTTGATTTGTGAAACATACACTATTGTTTACAATGGATTACTTGTTTAATGTAAATATATAAATACATACAAACTGTGCATTAAAATACAGTCAAATATTCTAATCTTTCCCCCGTTCCGCTTGCAAGTAAGTATGAAAATCCACATAGGATATCTTGCCAATACAACATGAAATGATATTTCTTGAACAACGTAGTTTTCTTCTCACAAATTTTCATACTGCAAGCACAGAGGAATCAGCTAAACAACCTAAAACGTAGTTTCTGGGGAAAAGTATATAACTGCTAAGCCTAAATTCTTACTATGTACCAAGAACAGTTGTGTCATTCCTATCAAAACTGAATCCAGAAGTGCCTCTCTCAATAAATAAAATACCTACCACGTGAAGAAGGCAAGCAAAAAACACCTGCTTGGTTTTTTTGTTGTTTTCTTAAACAACCTCAGGTTTCTTTATAAATATAAGAGAATTATTTAACAAGAATCTTTTAGAAGAGGCTAGCATAATTCCAAAATCAGGGGTAAGACAAGTGATTCACAAAGGAGCTAGAAAACAATCTTGAAAAATTACAGAGGCTCGTAGGATATTACGCACTTAGGATCATTTGCAGATCATCTAAATGGTACTTAAGTCACCAAGCCTACTGTTTGCTTGGAGGTAGTCACAACTTTAGACAGAAAATAGGAAGAAAGAGGTGTAGAGACTTGACTGGAGTTTAGATTGTCTGAATATGTGCCCCCAAAATAAAACCTGAACAGTGTCTCACAAAAGCAGATACAATGCCAGTCTAAACGTGAGGATGCTCACAGCCAGTGATGGAAGCAAATGACAACTTTACCACGCTCCTCTTCAAAAACTCCATCTGTTTTGTACTGCTTTAGATTAATATCCTGTTGCAGCTCTAAATGCTCTACACTTCACGGTACTACTACAAGTAGCATTTCCTGCTGAAGTTGAGTGGTCAATAATTCCTAATTTTCTAAACTTCTGGAACCTCAAACTGAAACATGCACAAGTGCTAGGGATGGAGGAAGTGCGGGAACAGGGGAAAGGGATTGTTTCACCCAAATATCTAAGACTGCAAGACACCATCTATTTTTTTTTCCCCTGGAAGGATTGCTGCAAAGATGTTGCTGAAAGAACTGTATAATCTACTGTCCAAATACCATAGAACTTACCCTCCTTGCAGTCATGCTTGTTTTCATGTAGCACAAATCCATTCCGGCACTGGCAAACGTAGCTTCCTACCGTGTTGATGCACTCGTGCTGGCAACCACCATTGTCCTTCGAACACTCATCCTTGTCTAAGAAATACACAAGAATGGGTGAGCAGACAGAAAAAGAGCTTCTCCTCAAAAACAAAAGGGTTTAGCATAGACTTTGAGATCACAAGAGGATAAACTAAGGCACAGTCATTCTTCTCAGTTTTGTGCTAACTTACTTCTACCTGCTTATTGCTCAGCCTACACCATGGCTCAGATATTCTGCCTCATCTTTCTTAGAAGTGAGGGACAGATCACTGGGAAGGGGAACACTAATAATCAAACAAGCTGCATCAAAGGAGACAGTTACCAGCATTTACTCCTTCAACTGGTCTAGCTGGCAAAGATTTCATAAATATTTAATCTAGAGCTTTATTTTGATAAACAACAGGAGTGCAATTTATGACCAACACAAAATATTCCAGCTCTATGCAAATTCCACAATTTAACAGTGGCGTGTTGAAAGGCAGACAGAGGCCAAAGAAGGCTTCCAGCTCTGCACATTTAAGATATAAGAAAAGAATGACTTAACATAAACTTTCTGAATAAGTTGCTTTTTCTTTCCAGCAGAGTGGCAGTGTGCTTTACTTTAAATGAACCTGGGCATTACAGAATATCTTGAAAAGGAAAACATTTCATTGAAAAGCATACAAAAGAAACTGGCATTAATTATTTCAAGGAGGTCTACAATATAGCATGCAGTTCTGTTTATTAACATATAATCCCTAAAAAGAGCTTTTAGTGTGTTAGAAGTAAAGCAGAGAGTAGGGGAGGAAATATGACCTGCATTATACAGCTAAAAATTCATGGAAAAAAGCCAAACTAGATTAACAGGCTGTCATTCTAGCAAGAGGCCTCAGCTGCCACCCTTCTATGTCATTCAGCTGCTGTCATTTCAGTTGAGGCCAGTCCATTTGAGACAGGGAGACTGCTCTGGACGTGTTCATACATACATATATATATATATACACACTCACACACGCATGTATATAGACATGGTTATATACATTTATATACATATGTATACACACTAGTATAAAACCTGACCAATAAAAATATAAACAATATTATTATGTGAGTGTGTGTATATACGCGAATGTTTACATACAGCTGCATCTTACAGACTCTGCCATTTCAACATACAAAATAGAAGAGGCAAATGTGCAAAGGAATAATGGTCATTTCAGATGTCCATTTATTGCAAGGCTGGAATGCATAGTATGTGTTCCCTTCAGCCTCATGTGCCTTGGAAAGCAACAATAAGTGTTATCTCTGAACAAGTTAACATGTGATGCTTCAGACTTCATTAGGCACAGTAAGAATTTCTACAGATTACAAACATTATAGATAATTTAAGTCTCTTTTGTCATCTTATGCACTTTCCTCAGTTTTACTGTTGCTTGTATTGAGTAAGACAACAAAGTAAATCTGCATTATAATTACACAGACATCAGCTTTATCTGCCAAAATATATGCAACACTTGACTAATCAACTTGAAAGCATTTCGGCAAAAAATCAATTTCTACTTCTAATACAGAATGATGATGCAGAGAAATCCTTTCAGTCTAACCTAAGCATCTACTGCATTTTTTTGCCCTGTAAATCTGAAATCTGTTTACACTGAAAGATTCTGAAAGCTTTCTGTAGATGTGAAACAGCAAAAAAAGTATGTTGGTTCCAGAGTCACACATCCAAAGCCTGGTATCGGTGATCATGTTGATGATGAAAGAAGCATAAAAGCCTTTACAGTATACTGCTTATGCACCTTGCAATTCAAGTCTCAAATGGAGACAATAAATGTCTTCATTTCAAACAAAAGTTTTTATCTTTCATCCTTGCAAAAGCAAGCGCTATTGTAAATTAATTCCACGTTGTGAGTGAAGAATAGTAACAAGCAAATGAGAAATAAAATGTATTATGAAGAAAACTCTTCAATATTTCCCCACCTAAGTATTAGTTTGCAGTTTTCTACCAAAATAACACAATAAATGGAAGGCAAGCTCAAAATGCATTGAACTTTGATTTTCCAGTACATAGTAAGCATGGAAATTCTCAGTGAAAGCCCTCTCCATTTTCACCTTCCATCAAACTGTGAAAATAGAGAAAAGTATTTTAACATTAAAGAGTACTTTGTAAAACAATGTATTAGAGACAAGTGCGTAAGAAAACAGTCCCAAATTGGACTTCTGAGATGAAACTGATATAAAACCGTGGACAGAAGGTAGAAAAGAGAAGCTTTCGTACATATCTGAACTACAATAATTATTTGTAGACGGTTAATCAAGGATGCAACTGTTGAACAAGCTTTCCTCACGCTTCATAATTCGGAACAGATTTTCTGTCAGATTGATTGCCCAGTTTTAAAAATTCATGAGAAAAAAAAAACCAACAAAAAAACAACAATTAGTCTGTATTAGTTATAGGAACAAATGTTTTGCCATGTAAAAACAAAGCCATTTGTTATGCTGACAGATGGAAATGAGTTTCCCCGGTTCTGAATGGATACTTTCTTTCTTCTCTCATTTCAGTACTCAGAATAGGGAAAGATCCATTCCCAACAAAACGTTAGGCTGAAATCATTCAGAGGACAAATGGTCGTACCTCTGAGACCATCAGAGGCCACCAGTCTGTGAATAATACGTACTCGGCCTGAAGGGACCTGTACCAAGTCCTTGCAAGATTCGAAAACAAAAATTTTCTCTTTGCAGGTAGTTTTCTTGTCTGTGGAAAAAAAGGTACCAGGATGGCACCAGAGATGAGTTTGTGCTCCAGAACAAATCTACTCAAGGCTAGAAAACATCCTAGCTTTCTCTTTTTAACTGATCAGTGAATCATCAACCAAGAAAAAATGTCCCAAAAATCATTTCAGTATTACATCAATTACCACAGCTTGAATGGTCATGTGAAAAATTATGTGCATTTAAAACTCTAAAATTAGTGATAAATGGAAGCAGTTTAATGACATTATGACAAGGTATTAAATGTACCACTAAATAAAGACTGATTTAAAGAAATTATCAGGATAGATCATAAGAAAAAACACAGAAAAGAAGATATTTTTAACATTCTATTATATATTTCCTTTCACTCCTCTATTAGAGGAGAATAGGTTACTGTCCTCCACCAAGAGCAGAAGAGGAGAGAGAGCAAAAGAAAGGACAGAAGAGAGGAAGGTAGAAGCGAAACAAACACACACACACACACACACACCCCAAAAAACCATCCCAAAACAGTGCACACACCTTGTTTCTGGAAGCTTTTAGTTTAGAAGCCAATTCCAAAACATTTTTGCAAAAGTATTGAAAAATGAATGTGACAACTCCCTAGTTTCTCCTCCACACCCAGGAAACTGGATTATAATCATAGAACATTCTCTCTGTTGGTTAGGTGGATGCTGCAATGGCTACCAACTAAGCTTTTTTTCAGATCTGTCTGACCAAATGGGAATTCTACAGAATGTTTAAAAAAAAAAAAAAAAAAATTCTCACTTTCCCATAGCACCTGGCTGGCTGTTAACACCATTTTGCAGCCAAATAAGCAATTATATGTCTTCTTATATCAACAAAAATAGCTTCCTAGTGCAGGTCATTTTTGTGCACTGTGTCACTGTTTGCTTTCACAGTTTATCGCATTGGTTTTCAATCACCCAAAAACTGCTTTCTGTCATCTGAGCTGGAGCTCAGCCATATTTCTTCAACTATAGCTGTGGTTGCAGAATTCATCACTGAAAGAGTTGCAAAAAACTTTCTTGGTTGTGCTTGAGGAACACATCACTGTTCTAAATCTTCATTGTTTGATTTACCTACCTCCCTTTTGCTGAGCATTCTGGAGTGAACAGACTGCAAGAAGCAGTGTTTTACTCATTACTGATTTTTTTTCATGAGGTATGGTTTTACAACTAAATGTTTACAAATACTTATTGTCTTCTAGTAAGCATCCTGAACACTAATAACTAACATTAAGTATTTATCTGTAGATTACATTCTAAATGTACTGCTTTCTGACGACAAGCTTAAAAAGAGGCAGAAAAGAACCACAAGGTCAGCTGAACAGTGATCAGCTATTAATTCCCAAAAGTCTGAATACACAAGATGAAGTCTCAAGTCCATGCTTAATTAATGGATGATTAGCATATTATATTTATATTAAGGAATTCAGTGGTAAAAAAACGATATCATTTTCTGACAGCCGGAAGAATTGCGTCCAGTGAATTACTGCGAGATTAAAGCCTTTTGTTTGAGCTTTAAGTTCAAAATTTGACTTGTCTTAAGTATTACAAAGTTTCTGTTTTGATCAAGAAATCAAAGGTAACATGTAAGAATAAAAGAAGTGATAAACAGAAAAGCTGAGGAAGAATAAAAAGAAAATACAGAGCTGTTGAACTTGTGAAACGAAAGCAGAGATTGCAGCAGAAATGCACTGTGAAGCATTCAGCACATTTGTATATTTACAACTCAAAGACTATTTACATGAGACTACATTTCTTTGAAGAGGATTAGATATACTCTATACTCAGCTATTTCTATTCATTAAAAAAAAACAAAAACAAACACATTAGTTTAGACTTAGCCCTGGCTAATGGATTTATTCTGCTGATCACTGGAAACGTTTAAAACTTATCATTTTTAATTTAGTAAGAAAAATCTGTTTTCAACCAGGGACAAAAAAAAACAGTATTTCGTTCAAAACTGAAACAGATCTGAAGGATTACAGCATGATGCTTTGAATTGCATGAACTACAGCCCAATCATTCCCAAACATACAGCAGTTACCTGAGTTCTTTCTACAACACATTCATAACGTTAATTATATAAACAATAAAAAAAAAGCTTAAAAAGCAACAAGAAGTAAAAAACATCAAAAAACATTGAAGACAGAAATTTAAGTGAATTTGCATGTGTCATGTTCATGAATTTGCATGTGTCATGTTCAGCACAGCCACAAACCATAATTCCTTAACTACAATGCTTACAAATTTCAGAGCTGTAATTGCCAAGCTTATCTGCCATAGCTTTATAGATTCTGAACTATGTAATAAAAGCCATTTTTAGAACTGGAACACCAATATTTAACTGCAAAAATATTTACTGCAAAAAGTCATACTAAGTCACAATGCTTGCTGGCACTCCTAGGTCTCCATGAACTGAATAGTTGTATAAAATCTTCTATGAGGAAGCTCTGCTGTGTGCATGTATATACAAACTACAAGTACTGAGCAAACCCCGATAGTCTCTTATAAATGCAAAGTACCATTTTAAAGCTACATAAAAGGTAATACTACATGCAAAGACAGATCTGAATGAATGTGACGACAGAAATGCGAGGACTAGGAGAAAATGATATTCTCAAAAGCTCATTTCTTCATATGAGAGAAATCCCATTTTTCCTTTCTGCATTATTGCTTTTCAAATAAATAAATAAACAATCTAAGTCATAAGGGGAAAACACTGGAAGTTTTGTTGTCTTTCGAGACATTTACTTTCCTCACTTTCCACTCCTTGTACTTCCCTATGCCTCATATGGCATGCTGATTCACATTACCTTACTTTGTCATAGTCCTTATTAGAGCTAACCAGTGCAATACCACTTACATGACAGCTTTGCTAAAGCATTTTAGTGAACAAACCCTAATAATGGTGACTGGTAACACATTTTGTTACATGCTGAAAATAATCAGAATTTTTCAGATTCAAATTTTCAAAAGCTACAAGAAAAAAAAAGAAAAAAAGGTGGCAAAATGCAAATCCCAGATGCTTCTGAATTGCTTCCAGAGTTTTCAGAGAGGGAACTGTTTTGTTATTTTGTTTTACATGACATAACATACGCATGCATACGTGTGAATATGAAAAGCATGATGCAAAATGACACTAACACAAACTGTTTTTCTGCCACAGCCAGATTATCATAATCTAGTCTCAGCAGGCAATTGCAAAGACCTCTGCTGTGCAAATCTGTCCACAGATCTCAAGCTTCACTTATATCTAAATAACTTCATGCAACAGTATGTGTCCTTCTACAATATAAACTGACAGCTCTGATCTGCTGCAGAGAAATTACAGCCCAATAAAGACAAATTTTTTGGAAAATATTAAGATCTGTTTTTCTGCAGTATATTAAGAAGTGCAAAGTTTGGCAAGAAAGAACCCATAATGCTAAGCAAATGTTCTATCACGAAGTAGTAATTTTATAACTAATGTAATATATTACGAGATATGAGTGGAAAAAAAGGCAAGAGTACACAGCATGTAATTCATATCATGTCGGGAGTGGGATTTGGAAAAAACTCAGCAACAGAACTTGGGAGAAAAGAAACCCAACAGAAATTTAGGAACACTCATTAGATTGCCTTTCTTCTTATCTTACAAAGCTTTTTTTAGACTCCTTTGTAATGTAAATGTGTGAATGTGCATCCTACATATTTTCTACCATATGCAGATGTTAGAATTCAGAACCGTATTTTAAGAAAGAAAAGCAGATTATACTTTTGCAAATAAAACAGAATTAAAACTGCAGTGAAAAACTGTGAGGGAAGGACAGCCCACTTTCACACCAGAACGCAATACTCGTTCCACCCAGGCAGTGTGTGCTCAAAGGCTCTCACAGGTACACAAGAGTGATTTTCTGTACCTGAAAAGAAGTGTGCCTTGAAGCCTTTTTTTGACACTGTATTGTCAGACCTGAACTCGATTCGCATGTTGTTGTACTGTGAGGTGATAACTTCAGGCACTTCCGTACCGCAGAATTTACCGTGTAGTTTAGAATCAGAAGAAAGGCCACTGCGGATCTCCACGTAATCGTATTTGCACACCTGGGAAAAGAGAGATCTTTATTTTTTTTTAGCTAACCAAAGCAAAAGCATGAAATCGGCTACAAATGCAAGGACTTCAAATACTATGTGCCACTCAGTAATGCATTAAAATATTGTTCCACATTTTCCTGAACCTGAAAACATTTGCAAATGCTTACAGTTGTTCACTTTACATGAGCATATTTAAAGTCAGTAAGACTAAGGTCTTATACTCAAAACTCCATTATTTTTCACAATCTCTGTTAGGTATTGCAATTTTAAAATGCTTAAAATATCAATTATATCTAAAAAGTAAAAATATCGGACTTTGACTAAGATCTAGAAATGTTCACCCTATACATTTACAACTGTCTTCATGCGATAAGCCAGATACCCAAAATCTACAAACATTCAGCAGTTTACTCCTCAGAAATAAAAAAAAAAACTTGTTTAGAATCATCCAAGAGAGGTTTTTATTACACAATTTTGCCATAAGCAGACTGATTTAGCTGTAGGTGTTCCTGTTTGTTGCAGAGGAGTTGGACTATATGGCCCTTAATGGTCTCCTCCAACTCAACCGATTCTATGAATCCGTGATACTCATTTACTCATGAATATATAAATCTGCACTATTAATTCTACAAATCTTTAAGTGTAGCATAGCTATAATTCAGAGGGCTAATACATGCGGCTTTCCCTGAACAGTTAAAAATAAGATACAATAATGTAATAAAAAGCCTTATGCAAGGGCTAACTACTCATGATAATACAGTCAATGCATAATTCCTCGGTCAACAGAAGGCCTTCCACCCAAAAACTTCTAAGCTTCTTAGGCTCAACAATCAATTGTTTCATCAAAAATGCCCCAGCTGCCTGCAATTAATAGCTTAAGAGAAAACAGTGGCCAGGAGGATTCATAACAAGCTGTCCGTTAAATATGGGTTGTATTTGACAAATCACAATTTACAGTCATAAAAGAAATGTTGAAATCATATTCATACAACGCAGAGAACAAAGGTATAAAACTTGAGTTTCTATTATATATTGATTTATATTAATTGTAGGATAAATAATAATAATGCCTACCACTTTCAGATATAATTAACAACTATAATTTCTACAGTATACTAGTGATGAACTCTGATGCTCTTATAGGTTTAGATTAAAAATGCAATGTAATTTGAGATTGTTTTTTTGGGCCTTTTTACAGCCCTATATAAAATATAAATAGAATTAAAAGATAATCGCAAAATTAAAAGTGAAAAATATAAGTGCAAAAGATTAGAATTTTAATACTGGTACTTCATGGAGCTCCTAAAACAACAACAAAATTAAAGCATTTGCTAAATGTATACAGGCAGACATTAAGTCTACACTCTGAAAATGTCTGAATGTCCCATTTATTATGCATGTTTCTTCTGATTTTCACAGATGAACGTACTGCTAGTTAACAATACAAAGCTGAAGTCGATTAAGTACTACCGGAGAGGATCAAAACAAAGCTATAAACATTGAAAAAACAGCTATTTATGTATTTTTCATATCTGCAGAGTTTGCACGCCCTGCGTAACCTTAGAAAGCAGATAAAACCTCTTGTACCTTGCTTGCAAATGTGGCTAAAGTATCAAGAAATTGCAGAAGAAAATGTACAAGCATAGCAAGGGAATTTGATGGTGTAACAGAGCCAAACCTAGGAAGCAGAATCGAAACACTGATGCAAAATCCATACTTCTAGATACCCAATACATCCTGCAACATGCTCACTGTTTTGCCTGAAGCTAGAAGGAGCAGCATTTCCCACACAGTGATCTCTGCTCTGTCCCTCTCCCCTGGGATGAGAAAGGATTTAGGGACTCCCTGGGCTTCCCTGCTTGATGGGTGCCACCTCCAGCAAGCACTGCATGCTGCTGTCTGCACTGACAAGATGCTTGGAAAGAGTCCAGCCCAGTGGTGGAAGCTGGCATGTGACTTGCTCCTAACTCTCTGCTCCTTGGGCCGAAGCACCGCAGTTGTGCTGTTATTTTTTTCCAAGTACATCTACTAAGTAGACCCGATCCAGATTCACTTGGAGAAAAATGGCATTCTTCAAACAGCCTTGTTACTCCATTGTGCCTTATTTTGAGTACTGTTCCTTGTAAAACATTCACCCTTGAGAGGCTTATAAGTGATTTAAATGTTCCCTGGCTCTGTCACTAACCAAACCTTATGTGTAATCTTTGTAGTCATAATCTTTAAAGATGATTTGGTTTCTCCAGATTTTCTTGTCTTGAATTCTTTCCAATAAGTCTCAGACATTTGTTCTGTTTTACTTTGTTGATAAAAAAAAAAAAAAAAAGTCAGCTGAGACTCAGCAGAGAACATTTCTTCTAAATTTCTTATAATACATATACATTCAGTTGATACGTAAAAGAAAGATATTCTCTCCGTGTTTGTTTTGAAAGAGCCCAGAAACAGTCCCAGAACAAAACCAAGAATATCTATGGTTATTGTCAGTGCATGAACAGTTAAGTGAGGGTTTTATAAGGCAATACCTATTTCTGAAAGCTCATTAAACTGTTTAGCGTGTAAGAGATTGTGCAGCTTTTTGTTCACAGTTACTCACTTCATTGCCTTCTAACTCAAAAAACTCAAACTTCATTGAAATTCGGTACTGCGTTGGGGCAACCACCTGCCACACACAGTTTTTGTTTGGAGGATATTCTTTGGGCCACCCTGGTGTGGTTATAGTCCCATTTAGCTTTGTCAGAAGTCCTCCACAAGCAGCTGTAAAATGAAAAGGGAGAGCATCATTTCTGGAATGAAACTGCCTTTTACTGTAAACAGAAGCACACTGAGCAGATTCAAGTCCTCTCATAACTTACACTGCTGTAATGCCCAGACAGACTAATCAGAATCTTGTTTTATCATGCTTGGTGCAAACAAAGAGAAAGAGACAGCCCCTATCTTGAACAGCTTGCAGGTTTGTGGACAGAGATAAGTTTCAAGACTACACATGGCTTTATCATATTCATTCTTTTCCCTTCCCTCCAGAGACTCTGGTTATTCTCTCACAGCCTTTCCCATGCAAGTCCTCTGACCTCACTTCTCTCCACAGGACCTTGATCACCCTTTTCTTACAGACAAACTACTCAAGATGCAGTTCACATTACCCTGGCTTCTTCTATTGATTATTGATCCAGAATTTGCCCAACCTCCTTCAGTTGATATATGTGCCTCCTGATAAGCTACAAGGTATGATCAGTTCCTTAGGACAGTAATCATGTACTGTTCAAATATAATTAAATTTGCTGAGGTACAGATGTTGAAATAACACAGAAAATATCCATTTGGAATGTAATTATAAACTAGTCATCCCTATACAACAGAACAATGCTGTAGAGCATGTGTGAATGCAGTTCAGAAGGCAAAAGACAGGAATATTAATCTTTTCCATTTGAGCAAAAAATGTTGAAAAAAATGTAATGGCATTCACAGGAGTTCTCAACAATATTCTGTTCCATTCATGCTATCATGGCACCACGACAGCATTGAAAAACATCCACAAAAATTTCTGAGGAGCTGCTGGGTGGAAGTTCGTTCTTCTTTCAACTGCTGCATGCTGATGCTCAGCATTTCTTGAACATATTGAAAACCAACACCTGTCATCTAGCTGATGACACACACACTCCATCGACACTAATGTGCCTGGGAGAACTCTTCAGTTTCTGTGTTAGAACACACATGGGCAACCCAGGCTTCCTGCTGGCGTCTCGCTTCCCATGCAGAAGACTTATCATCATACCTTTAAACGTAATCTAACCAAGGTTGGGGTAGCTGGGACCATAGGTCACGACTCAAAACAGACCTGGTACAGATTTCAAAACTGCAGTTAGATAACATATCTGCTCCCAAAATCATCTAGTCTACGCAAAGAGTACATCAGACTATTGGCTTTCAGTTTCTGTTTTTCAGTATCACTATATTGTTCCTTGAGGCAGTGGAGGGAAATATGAAAGTACTGAAAAACTCTTAAAGCTCTCCAATATGCTGCCAGCAGGGGAGATTTGGATTAAACAGCATGAAGCAATTTTCTGGGCATGTCAACACTGCAGTGAAGCACTGGGCAGAGTTTGAATTGGAGGCTTCTACTCTGGCATCATATGTCAATTAAAACAGCTGAGGCACCCCACAAATTGCTAAACCGTACTCTAGGATGTAATGCTGACTGTGACAACAGTGACTTCAATTCAGTAGTCCCAATGAGCATCTACAGATTGTAAGGAATAAATCATGTGGAACAAATGCATTTACACTTCTAGGGATAGCTTGGGGGTTTTGCTCCATGCTACACTGCACTATTTAGCATGATTCCTCCTTTTTCCTGAGCTGCTTTCCTGTTTGTGTGCTGAGGAATTACTGCTTCTTCTCTTTATAGGAGGAAGAAGAAAGAGTTTTCTGAAGGATGGGTAACCTTCCCTAATGTTTGGACTCAGATCATTAGACAGACTAAGCCAAATTCCTTCCATAAATTTGGACTGATGATCAAAGGGCCCACCTCTGTCTTCATGCCTCTGCTAGATTAACCTTATTTTCTGCACACTGACTAATATGCAGCCATTTCAGTACACCAGACCTGAAATAACTTATTTTTCCCATATGCTCACTATTAAATTTAAGGAGGGGAAAAAAAAAAACAACAAACCATCAGCTTAATAACACCTTCAGACCAATATGGCTATAGTCAAGTTCTATCTCTGCTTCACACACAAAAAACCATCAACACCCACAGAATCAAAAGCAGAATAATAAATGCAAAGAATCCGTGCAAAACTACCCCAAATTGTGACAAATCATGAGTGAAAGCCAGGGAATTGGAAAATAAATAGAGAGCAGTGAATCGTATCTGAAGGAAACCATAACACAGAGCACTTCAATTTTCAAAATCTATTCACCCCTGAAACACAAATAGATGAACTCAGAGAAGAATAACTCATGCTATCCCTGAATGTATTCATGTTTATGAGTGGAAATCCAAACAATAATTGCTACGTACTGATCAACAGCTTTTGCTTCTTTCCTTTCCATATGAAAAACGTACATGAAGCAAAAGGTTATCTCAGTTCAACCCTTTGTTTATACAAACTTCAATTTATCAGGTTTTTATTTCTCCAACTGATTACCTGATCAAGCTTCACTCATCTCTGAAATGTAGAATTTTTTTTTTTCCAGTAATAAAAACCCAAAAAATCTGACTAGTATTAGGGAAGATTTCTCTGAGTTTCAGGATCCTGACAGAAAAGTCAATGATCAGACTGGCACTGGTAAGGATTTCTCTGAGTTTTGCACTGGAGGATCCTGCTAGAATAAAGGATCTACTGCAATCAGAGCCTGTCAGAGGGATCATTCAAGTTCCTGACAGCAGCACATGGCTCTGCTGATAATTCGCTCTTTGCACACAATGGGAGGCTTTGATTTAATGAGGATGAGTAATACAACGTGAAGTTGGGAAAAGCATGAAGTTATTTGCAATGTTTCTAATCGACTACCAGAAAACCTGAAACATTTAGTGACAGCAACCCAATGAAAGATGACCTCTATGGAGGGACATAGCCCCACTGCTTTCAAGGCAGCCCTGGTTTTCCAGGCTTGCTCCGCAGACCTTACATTGCTAGGAGAGAGCATCCGAAAGGTGAATGATCAAAGCCTGGAGCTTTAATACCTGAGACCATAGCAACAGATTGTACCTTCACAGCTCTTTTTGTCAGGACCGAGTTCATAGCCAGGATCACAGGCGCACTGGTAACTGCCCAGAGTGTTAACACAGCGCTGCTCACAGCCACCATTGTCAGGTTTGGCACATTCATCTTCCTCTGCCAAGACAGGGAAGAATGAAAAAATGTGTTAAATAATTAACTTTCTCAGCTGTAAGTGATGGATCAGTATTAACCCCGAAAGCTGTAATATATGCCGTTATAAGGTGTGCTACAAAACACACCGTGGATGCTGACTAGAGCACTTTCAAACACTAAGGAGACCTGTAATGGAGAAAATAAGAATGTGCATTTTTGTGTAATTGTTTTGCTTTGCTTTTTTACAATATCTACTGACAGCTGCAGATCCAGTTTATAAGCACTTTGTTGGCAACACACAATCATTTAGGCAGCATTAATCTAAAGGTTGTATAAAGTATTGAAAGAAAGACTGAAAATCCAGAGCAGGGTCACTTGAAGGGCACTTTATCTCCCACAAAATCAATTTGTGTATTATCCTGAATTCATACTCAAAAACAGATTAACAGAATCCTCAAATCCCAGGTTTTCATTCTACTGATATTAAAGTGAACAAGATACATCAAGGCGGGGGAGGGAAGGGAACAGTGTATTGCCTGTACTAGCTGTGAAGTATACCCATGAGGTTCATTTTTAGAATATTCCTCAGATGTTCAAATATTATTTCCTTACGAACTTGAGACAAGTGATTCCTGAAGAGTAAAAGAGTTCCCACCCTTGTGTCTACAGCCTTCCAAGTTTTAATTCTCTAGAGTGAAAACTAACAGAGTAAGAAAATCCCCAGCTTGTGGCTTTGCAAGGGAGCAAGAAGGCTTTCCTTGTGATGTGACTTGTATTTTAGGAGCTAGCATGGCCTATTAGCGCTGTTGCCTTTCACTGTGCCTTAGGTAGAACAGAGCTGGAACTCCACAAGCTAGAGACAGACACTGAGGCCACCGGTCACTCCATGGTCTCTCAGTTCTTTTTTTCCACCTTGCTGATGGACAATAATAAGCTGATAATGCAGCCTAATGCAGCAGAATAGCTGGAAGAAACATGTAGATTCAAAGAAAACTATTTTAGCAGAAAAGACCCAGTCATCTCTATTATGATTATATTACTTAATTTTATATTTGATAACACAATTAGCCCAAGGAATGTATTTTGCAAGAACAGATGTGTTTCAAGGTGCTTCGAAATATTTTACAATTATTATTATTTTTTTAATAAAAATAGCCTGTCCAGGTTAATAAAACATATTACAGAACAGTTTTAAGTAGAAAATTGGGCAGCCCGATCTGGTGGTTAGCACCCAGGAGGGGGGTTGAAACTAGATGAGCGCTGTGGTCCTTTTCAACCCAGGCCAACCCAGGCCATCCTATGATATGATATGATAAAAACAGGTTCAAAAATATTTTTTTGAATCCCATTATAATCCCATTCTTTTTTTTTTTTTTTGGTACAAGGATAAAACACAGACTCACAGAATCATTACGATTGGAAAGACCTCTAAGATCATCCAGCCCAACTCCAACCCATTCCCACCATTTCTACTCGTCATGTTCCTCAGCGCCACAGCTCCATGATTCTTCTACACACCCAGGGACAGTCTAATATCTCCTTGTGCAGCCTGTGCTAATGCCTCACCACTCTCCTAAGAAGAAATTTTTCCTAATATCCAACCCGATCCTCCCATGGAGCAACTTGAGGCCATTATCTCTCGTTCCATCGCTGTTATCTGTGAGAAAAGGCTGACCCCACCTCTCCACAATCTCCTTACAGAAAGCAATAAGATCTTCCCTGAGCCTCCTCTTCTCCAGACTGAACAATCCCAGTTACCTCAGTTGCTCCCCATAAGATTTTTGCTCCAGACATTTCACCAGCTTTGCTGCCCTTCTTTGAACAGGCAAACAATGAGAAGTTCACAGGTCTGAAAACAAGCTTCAACATTTACCTTTAAAAAAGTTAGCTGCAAATCCTGCTTTGTTAACCGTTCCATCGGAAACAAACTTCATCCACAGAGTATTAGAGGTAGATCTAATGTCTTCTGGCTTGTCATAGCCACAGAAGTGACCAATCAAAGGGCTGTTTTCATTCATTCCATCTCGAATTTCCAAGTAGTCATATGCACAGTTGTCATGTCTTTCAATCTGTAAAAAAAAAAAAAAAAAAATTTTGAAGGGATTTTTTTCAATTTGACCATAAATATAAAATATCAGTCATATCGTGAATAGAAAATGTTATAAAATATTTTGCGATTCAAACACTAGGAGGGTGATGAAGCAGAACCACTAGACTGTTTAAAATACCTTTTTTTTCTTTTTTCTTTTTTTTTAACAATAAGAAAAACTTGAGATTGTTACATAGGATACAACAATCTAAACAGGACAAAGTAATTAGGAGAGACAAGCCCATCTCTAAGCTTCCCAATGTTCTGCCAAATTCCTGTTGCTCTGAGTACAAGTAAATTATTTTCTCATGTACATGCAAGTACACAATGTTAATGATTCAATAACTGAGCAGGTCAGAAATATCAGTTGGTTTTGAAATGTTATAAAGCTCATTTTTATTAATATGAAAAGACTTTTATACATTGCCAACCTGCCAGACTTTAGATGGAGATGAGCATTTTATTTTCTTTCTTTATTGTAAACACAGTGCAAAAAGTTGCATTTGCCATTACAGATGTTGCAGGGCAGTTGAAAAAAATCAAAGTGAATGAAGAGTTTGAAGCATTTGAACAATTAGACCCAAATACACTTAACATTATCAGCTACTTACCAGCCAATAGAACTGATGACAAAAAGTATCATTGTTATTTTTCTGCAGCCAAAGAATTTGGTTTCTGTTGCATTGCTCCTGATTTCAGGTAACTTTGTCTTAATTCGAGTCAAAAAGTTAATCTTTTTTTTCATATTATCAAAGCAAAGCACTGAAACCAGAACAACTGAAAATGCACCTCTTGTTTAAAAAACCTGCCAGAGGATAGCCAAGCACAGACTTGTGGCCAGTGGCCACATTGGCATTTGTACCTGGGTAAGTCTTAAGTTCTTTACATAGTAGTATCTTCAGAGTCAATCAGAGGAATTGTTGCAACAGAGAAAGCAAAAGCAGACTGAATGGAATCCTATCTGAAGCCTAAATAATAATTATGCCTGTCTTTGTGACAGAAATATTTCCCAACAGTATTGAAAATCCTCTTGATCCGGGTCATTTACTTCATGTTACTCAATTAATATCGCACCTCAGCTATGAAAGCATTACCTAAATCCCAGTGCTCAAAACTAAATCCTCTACAGGAACAACTGTTCAACCAAGTGGCTGAATCGTGGGATACGTTTGGGGCACAGAGAGAACAGTCAGGGAGGGAGAAGGGGTTGGAGAAGCCTCAGATTGAATTCAGCACATTTCAGCTCTGTTAAAAGGACAGCAATCAATTCATACCAAGCCCAGAAAAACCCACATCTGATACTTTACTTAAACAACAGTTGCACATACAGTATCTGTCATTGGTGCCACCCTGTTCTGGCTGAGCATTATGACTACCTCTAAGCTCAGTAAACCACCACTGACTAAGGAGCTTTCATTTAGCACATTAGGAATGCTGCTTCCTTTATGTAAGAGGGAAGTCTAGGAGAAGGGGTTGTTTGATTTTATTTCATTTTAATGCCATCAAAATATGTCTCTTACACACAAAATTTCTCCGTCTTCTTTCCAGCTTTCCAATTCTTCAAGTAATTTTCTCCCACTCATTTCTCTGGCACAAACCATATTGCCTTTTGCTTTAATTTTTCAATTTGGGCCAGAATTAGAGAAATGAGAAAAGCCCCAGTGATTTAGGGTGAAACTACCTCTTACTGACTTCAGGGGCAGCTGTTTGCAACTAATGCGGTCAGACGTGTCTACCTGAGCACTGCTAAGTCCTTGACGCTGTAATACAGATTGCAAATTTTCATTCATCTTAATAAATGCATGACATCATATCCAACTTGCCTTATAATCTCAAAAAAAAAAAAAAAAAAAAAAAAACCAAAAAACAAACCAACTCCAATGTAGAAAGAAGTGACCTGGCACAAAGCCCATTAAAATCAAAGAAGGAATTGTTTATTTTCCCCCCACATGTCTGTGGACTTTACACGACTCGAACTTTTAATTAACATCTGTTTTTTTCCACATTTCCCATGTTCTACGGGGCAGTATGGAAATTATTACTTTTAAAGGCCAAGTGTAGCTCTGAGTTTCATGTACCAAACTCCTACTGAAGTAAAATGTTAGGGCTTTCTTTCTTTTTTTTTTTTTTTTCCCTGAGAATCACTCCTTATTTTTGGCAGAAGAAAAATGCCACAAATCCATTTTATATAACAGCGAGTTGCTAAGTTTTCTAAGACTACAATAATCAACCAATTTACAGAGTGCTATTGATTTCTAATAAAGCGATTCCAAGTGGTGGCCATTCTACCATAATTATTTATTTTTAGAGTACCACTACTTCAAGTGATGCCATTATTATTAATACATTAGAGGATTAAATAGCTATATATAAATTCAAAGATAAGAATAGTGTTTCTGAGAAGCAATAAGTGGTTTTAAGGCTGGTAAGTAAAGGTAGGTTTTACCTGTGCAAACCTCATATTTTACAATATTGTTGTAAAGCAATATTGGGAACACTGCCTTATAAAGTTCTGTTACACTTTCTGAAGTTGTTCATTCATTCTTCCTTTCACAACGGTAGGAAATCTTCCCAGGTTAATGACAGGACAGCCAGTAAGCTTAGCTGTAATTGGAATGATCTGGTAGTACTTATTTACTGGAGCAATAACATTTCACAAGTTTAAAATTTCATGTGGATAAGGAAAAAAAAACCAAAAATCATGCAAAATGTTAGCAAGAAAAAAGCAAAAACAAACAAGTTTTAATAGGAAAATACAGTTTCTTTTAAGAGAATGAAAGGTACCATTGGGTCTGAAGGATTTGGAAGAAACCCAGAATTTGAATGGCATTAGTGAATTACGTTGAAAAAAAATGACAGAAAAATTCCTAAGTCAGGCCCATAAGCACAAGAAAACAACGAGAAATCTCCTGATTAAATGGAAAGCTAGGTAACTTTTCAACATCCATTCTCACGAGGAAAAGAAATTTCTTTCACATCATTCCAGCTTTGGGGAAAAAAAAAAAAAAAAAAAAAAGAGAAAGAGAAAGAAAAATAAGAACACTCCCCCCCAAAAAAACAAAAAGATTTTATCAAAAGATAAAGATTTGAGGAGAAAATTTGAAAGCAATCATTTCAGGTGAAAACATTTTTTTCATTATTAATATTTTGTTGATACAGCCAAACTCCAGTTCAGGTATACATATCTTACTCAGACAATGGACTTCTGTCAGAAAAAGGAAAAAAAAAGGAGTTACCAGTCCTCACATCTCTGGTATCATACAGGTAGTGGAAAGTGGAGCTCCCCCCCCCAGGCAGCCAAGAAAGAGGAGGTAATCCCACACTTGGTGGAAAACCCATTGCCCACAGCAGGCAAAACAGGATGACTCACTGATGCAGTTTGAAATTCTCAATTTCCCCACTGCTTTCATTTCAGAGTGGAGGTTATTTATACAGTTATTTTTTCTAGCATTACATATGGATAATGAGAATTCCTCATACTTAAGTGTACCTTTCAAAGGACAGAGAAGTGATTTTCTCACAAACACACTGCAATAACTCTTTGGCCTGACATTTACTTTTTTTTTTAAATCTAAGCTGGCACGCAGAACTGCGATTTTCAAACAACTTTGTGTTTTTCTGGGCAGCTCACCAAGGATTCAGTCCAGAGAGGGACTTAGTACCAAAACAGAGAACACCTACGTTCCCGTGCTTGGACCTAAATTGGAAATCAGCCCTGACAATGAATCTATAGGCAGGGCACTTTATTTTCCAAAACAACTCGAATTCATTGCAGGCAGCCCGGTGGAACAGCCAGAAAGAAACATAGTAAAGATAGATATATGTGAAAGAACTGCCATGCTCTTCCGGAGCTCCTCATTTGGTGCTCAAGGGCATCTTGCTTGCTCTGGATTCACATGTCAGAAAAGTGTGGGCCTTTCAAGTCCTTACTTGGGACACGCTTCAAAACACATCTAGCAGAGGTGCTAATTCCCTTTTGACTGAGACTACCACCAACTATACTGCCCAATTTCTTTCTTCTCAGGAGGAGTAGAGTCAGCTCATGACTCACCTCTAGTGAGGTGAGTCTAAATTCTTAAGTCTGCAGGAGAACAGCAGTGTAACAGATCATACTGCAGCCCTAACCACTACTAAAATGGTGCTCTCATTTTCCCTGTATAGACGAAATTGAACTACAGTCAGTGCAAGCAATAATGTAATATGCACGTAGATCAACTCTAAGCATCTGCGTGGAGGTCATGCTTCAGAAATCTACACAGTGTCACTTCTCTCGTGACTATAATAAAAATTACTGAACAACAATGTCAGATTAGTAAGGCTCCATATTTGTCAGTAAACTACTTAAGGTCTTAAGTGCTGAAAAGAAAGCCGAGTGAATGAGGCCAGACTCTTTTCAGTGGTGTACAGTGACAGGACAAGGGGCAACAAAGACAAACAGGAATACAGCAAGTTCCACACAAGCAGGAGGAAGAACTTCTGTGAACAGCATCTGAAAGGATCTTTGGGAAAGAAGAGCTCACCTTGCCTGCACTAGACCAGACCACAATCATATGACTAAATCTACCTACGAACTTCAAAACAGTGTATATGTACATATTTTTTTTTTTAAATGCATGAATATTGTTTATTATTTTTGTTCTTGTTATTTACTACTGTTTAACAATGTTTACATGGAGAGATGTATTATAGAGGCACACAGATATGACTCACCACAGATTTGTTTTCTTCCCCTTCTGAATATACATTCAAAGACCGAACCTAAGTACATTTATATGTTTTTTATATAGTATTTCACTTTTTTTTTTTTTAAACAGAAGCCAAACATTGCAATGTTTTCTTTCGAGATTTCTTTTTTCAAGATAAGATTCAGCAAAGATACAAAATCCCTATTATTTAACGGAATATTAAAGCAGACTTGCTGAACTGGATTACGTATTTGTTAAACTGCAACAATTGCCAGCACTTGAAACATTCCAACTCAAATAGCATAGATAATATAAAGACCTTTAATCTTCTTGAAAACTTCTGCAATAAAAAGGAAGGTCTCATGGAGAGCTGAATTGGATTCTGGATGTTATTTATCACGGAGAATTCGTTAATTCCCTCACAGGTTTAAAAGGATTTCACTTCAACGTCACTGCCATTTATCCACTAGATGGTTTTCTGAGTTAGGTTAAATCAGTTTACCTCAAATGCTTGAAAGGTTAATCCTACATTGTAGTTTTCAGACACTGTTATTTTCCACACGCATTCCTTCATCGGTCTGTAGTCATCAGGGTAATTGGGAGACTGGATCTGGCCTTCGTTTTTGTGGATTTCACCTCCACAGATCGCTGGTAAAAAGCATGAAATTCAAAGTCAACAGTGACATTTACAGTCCCCAACGCCCAAACTGACATTTTTACCTCCCTCTTCTTTTTAATACTAATGAGGAGAAAATACTCATAAACCTAGCAAGGACAAATTATAAACATTTAGTCTACAATATATATTTCAGTTAGCGAATGCTATAGATCATTTCCAGTAGTGCTAAATGTGTTGATAATGTTGAAGACTTGGAAATCACTGGTAATCTATCTGAACCTATATATTTTACAGAACATAATTACATGGTCAAAATAATGTTTACTTTTTGTTCACGTTCAAAATATATTTAATATACCTTCTCCATTACCATTTACTAACTTTTAGAAAGAAAAAAATAACAAAGAAACCTCATATTTTATAATAGTCCAGACATTTTGGCCTACAGATTATCACTACAAGTTTATATTAAATTTGAAGAAATATTTCATATTAATAACAAATACGTGCACGAAAAGTAAATGCTTTCTCAGGATCCACACCGATAGCCACATGGAGAGCTGTAAATAGCAATTTAATCCTAGGGTTTACCACCATGGATTCAATATTTAAGAAAACAGGCTCTATTTTAAACAGGTGAATGTAGACTTCATAACACACTCAGTGTGTGGGAGTACCTCTTTATTAAATTATCCCAGAGCATATGGAAAACTTTAGTCAGATTTTCTGAAGAATGAACAGAAAGTACTCAAATAATTATTTCCACACACTGCGCACAAGACCATGAATATTTAGTTAAGTAAAGAACAGGCAAAAAAAAAAAAATCACAAAAACTATGTCCCTGGAAAAGAGGTCATCTGACATCTGATCTCAGGATGTTTCAAAATATCTTATCTACTAATAATATTCTACCCCCTTTCAGTAATAAAACACCAATTTCGTATTACTATTTCTGACTATATGTATGTATACATGTAAATATACAAATATTTACTTCTTTTCCAAAGGCATCCAGTCAATTTTTTGTCTCCAGAAGCAGGTCATTTTTTAGTGCTGTCAGACACCCACCTTCATAAACTGCTGCAAAGCCTTTTCCAACCCAGTTGCTGCTGCTACGGAACTCAATCCACATCCTGCTGTCAGAGGACGCGAGGACTTCTGGCAGTTTGTCACCACAAAACCTGCCTAAAAACATGCAACCAGTAACTGCATTTTCTGCTGCCTCAAATGCTGCAAACATTTGCACACGTGTTTGACATTACAGAACACGAGTAACATAACCAGCTCAGTGGAACTGTTGACACGCTTATGGCCGAGCACACGTGCCCATTAGGACCTAAATACACAAAGATTTTATTATGAAGCGTTTCATTGCTGTCAGGCCAACAAGTCAAAGTAAAAAAAAACTTGGGGGAATTAAGTTGAAAAATGATTGTTTGTATGTACACAGACCTGGGCATTTTGGAAGGGCAGAGTAAGTGCTAATCTGAAAGAGCGTAACATCCAGGTCACAGTAAGACTGCTCATCATGTCTAAGAGCCAGAGAGATTTAAAAACTAAAATCCAAATGACCCTGGACTACGTTATCCTCTTATTTCAGCCTAGGTAGGTGAAATCTCCATTTATCTAGGTGATAGAGAAAGGGTAATTACTGTTTGGTATTAATTGTTTCCTCTTTTCTTCAAAATAAAAAATAAAAAACAAAGAGGCACTACCATTAAAATTCTTTCCTCTGCATCTACTTCCATTTTATCTTTCTACAGTTGTTTTTAAATTGTGGTTGTGAAGATGCGAACAAATATTTTAGTCTTAATTCTAAAAACAACAACAAACCTGACTCAAGAAGTTGGAGACTCACGTTTCTTACAGTCTGAAACCCCCAGATTCAATTGTTGAAGTCCACAGAATGTCTAATGTAGTCTCTGGATTCAACTAGTGTTATTTATTCTAAGTCTATGGAACTAACAAGGAAAGGTCCGGTTATGACAGGGGAAAATTTATCCTTCTTTGACAATTTAAAAATAAAGGCTTTGCTATGTTAAGTCATACTGTCCAGAGAAAAGGACTAGTACACAACCCACAGGTGAGACGGTAACATATACAGAAATCACTTGGGCAGCATGAAAGAAAGCTTACAGAATCATATATAGTGATATGCATTAAAAAATAAAAATCAATAAAATCACTGAAATGAAGTTCAAAATTAGTATTTTATCCTTTGGAAGAATTCTGACCTAGACTTTAAATCCCAACATGTAGAAGTTGAGATTTGGGTGCTCCGTCAGTATAAACTGCATGCTGTCTGAAGCTGAAATTAATTAACAGCCATCCTTTTTTTTTTTTTTTTTTTTAATTCAATAGTAACCAGCAAAGAAGATGTGGACACAGTAGGCTTAGATCTAATGGCAGCATGATGGGGCACATAATCTCCCCACCAACCCTCTGAATTAAGAAAAAGCTACCTGCAGCTTCCCACACATTACTTAAACTCTCAAGACTTAAGTCATTATTGTTTTGCATGTTCTTCACTGATTTTGCACTGAAGAAGCAAAGAATATGCAAGAGTAACCTATTTATAATTTCAAAAGCACAAGTACAGAGCTGGTAAGTACAAATTGACAGTGGGTGTTCACACCCACTTTGCATGTGCTCATCACATGCTCTATGGATTCCCCGTCAAATGCTCTGCAGCTCTGTCATTATACTATTCCCACATTTTGCAAAATATCTATGAAAACACCCATAAGCAAAAAGTTGCATGTTCTGTAGTTGTCTTCTTTCCACACATGAAGCATGCAACATGGTACATGTACTGACAACAGCTGATTGTAGAGAAATTGAAGATTGTAGAGATTTGAAGTCATGTAAACAAGGTATTGGAGAGTGTCTCTTTCCCACCTTACACACATTCTAGGAAGCTAGAAATAACTCACAAGGGTATTACAGCTACAACTGCAAGCAGTGAGTCCACTGAACTGTATGAGTATGGTAAGTCAGTGCAGCGTTCACAAATTGCATACCAAGCAGAGGTGATTTTCTCCAGTAGCCATCTCTTACTTCAATATAGTCGTACCAACAGAGACTGCTCTTGTACAGGTCCATCGTGGTGAAGTTTAAAACAATCTAAATCAGAGGAGAACTTGTCAGTAAATAACATATGGTTCACATTGGAAAACAATCCCAACAGCAATCTGCAGGTCTGAAGCCAGTGGTCATCCTTAACAGGATCTCAACTGCTTAGATAATTAACTTCAACTATTTCTTATAGTAAGTAAAAATTTATAGGGAAATATTAAAAATTTTCTATAATTTCACATAGTTGAGAACATTCAAGACAAACTCAGTTGCTTACAAGGAGGTCTTCACTGAAAAATAGGAATTTGAGAACTCGGCAGTATGATTTTAAGTCTGATAATTCTCTTGCCAGTCCTTTTTCCATTCTGTTCTATGATTGTAAGCTGCAGACACAGGTATAAATCTTTTTTTGTTTTGTTTTGTTTTGTTGGTTAATGTGCATTTCTGTTCAATGACAATTTTGACATTTTTTACTTTCAGAGAAGTGATATATTGAAATGGTGGACCAATAAACTAAAAAAAAAATTTAAAAAAATCGAAAGAAATGGTACATATTTTCCCTTTTCACACAGAATTCACTCATTGTAATGAAACTACAATACAGCTTTTAATACAGAGATCTTTGATTATCTGGAATTGGAATTCAAATTTTACTGAGAGTATCTGTAAGCGGGCATATTTTCAATACATAATATCAGGAGCACTGTAGACCATCACATTTTCTCACTTTGGTTTAAAAATACTCATCTAAAACCACCATAAAGTTACACTTGTAACAAAGAAGTAGGTTTTAGTCTGATCATAGGTTCACACTACCTACAGGCTGGGCTCGAACTGACTGGGACACTGTTAGCTTTATGCCCTACAATTTGAAGGATAAGTTAAAAACCGAAGATTAAGAATCATTCATATTATGTATTATGAAATCATTTCCAAGTCATATCCTTGAAATGGATTTAAGTATATTGGAAAAAGAACACATTTTCTTTGAGAACATTTCCTCAGCATACATTAATAAGTATTTCAGACTAACTGTAAAAATCTTCTTTACTCGCTGATGAGCATTAAGTGGTTCTATTTTTAGGTTTGATCCTGGGAGCTCACAATTGAAACCTGCTATTATAAAGCGACTAGGAATTGCCGCACAGCAGCAAATACCTCAGAGAGCACAAATATATCTCCATGGCAGCCTATGAAGCAGCTGTGTGTGTCAACTGGCAGGATAGGAATTTACCCCTTGTCCAAAAGCAGGGAGGGAAATATAGCACCGTAATAACGGGAGCAGGTATCCATACTGGATGCTTTTCTTCCATCTTTTCTGAAGGCACCATACGTCTCTCCAAAGACAATGATGTGTTACAACATTAACGCAAGAAAGGCAAAACATTTTCAGACTGTTAAATTCTCAAAAGAAAAACAGCTATTGGAGGAAGCTCATTTAAAGCTCGCGTAAAGCCCAGCAGCGTGGTTGTGCAGTTTAGAGAATGGAGTGTTGAAGTTCCTCTCCAAACAACATTAATGAAGATCAATCTTCCATAGCCCTATCTGCCTTAGCATTGAACTACCAGTGGGTTTCCTTTAACTTACTTTTCGCAAACAAACAAAAGAGTACACGCACATACAGTTGATCTCAAAAATCTCTTTTGCTTTCCACAGAGAATGGAAAAAGCTTCTGACTATTTTAAAAGCCACACTGTATCTTCCACCATCACAGAAATGCTGGCTGCATTCTGTTTGGGTGGAAAAGCAAGCTCACATGCAGCTTTCACCTTTACTACGTTGATGCGATAGGTAACAGAGAACATCTGTGAAGCTGCACATAAATCCCAATAGGCAGAACTCCCACACAGTGAAGCACGTTAACATTGGCAGCTGCAGCCTTGTGGGATGAAGGTATGGAGCCACGAAACCTGCCAAGGACCATCAGGATAGCACTGAGTAAATGGATACCTGTTCTGATGATTGAATAAGGCCAAATGTGTATACCCACAATACGCTAACACAACCACAAAGTCTCCAAGAAGGTTGCTTAAGCTACAGTCTGCCTCTAGCACTGCGTTCTTCTTGGGAACATCCTGCAGGCTGCTTTGGAATATTTTCAGAGTAGCAGATGCAAAAAATTAAGTCTGCTCTCTTAGTCTCACATTTTTACACAGAGAACATATGCTTTGATGTTAGTTTGACACTTTGGAAACTCCACAACATTTAGATATTATATATGATATGTAATAACTTATCTCCAGAACTGGTATTGGCCCTCTGGATCATAAAGACCCATCACAATGAATACTCATGATACTGTAGGCTTCCATTCAGAGATTCAAGATAAAAATGGACTGATCTGAAATCAAACACAATTGCTGTGTAACCTCGTCTCTTTGTCTCTATAATAACCAGAATAGAAATGAACACATTTACAATTATATATATGCATTCCTTATACTGAAAAGTTTTCAGAAATAGATTTTTTTTCTTTCTGAGCGATATTCCAATATTCACATTGCCTGGCTTTGGGTAGAGATTCCCCTTCCCTGAACTTTGAAAAACAGAGCTAATAAAACCCTAGCATAAAGCAAACAAACAATCAAACAAAACAAAACAATTCTGAATAATAGTATCTTGTGTTACCTGGATAGGAGATGTGCTTGAAATTGGGATTAGGAAAGAATGAAATGCTCACATGTTCAATCATTTGGTGAATTATAACAGTAAGAATTTTCTTATAGAAACTACAGCAAGTAAATCAGAGCTATTAAAAGCTAGAGCAGGTAAGAAATTCAGAGGGAATAAGAAGGAAGTGTTCCCTGTGGGGGAGACGAGGGCTGTTTGCTTGTTTATTTATCTTTTTAATGAAAGCCAGTATGTAAATCATCCTCACGGTCACTGATTACTCCTAGATCATGTACCACTGAGACATCCAAGACTTGACTCGAGATGTCCTGTGCCTCTGCGGGTTCTGTGAACTAGACTGCAATACTGTTTTCCCATTTCAGTACTGTCAGCAGATCCTAGAACCTGGGTTTCTAATAGCCTCTATCTTAAATACATTTCGTAAGCTATGTCCTTCCCTTCCCTTCCCTTTTCCCATTTACCAGTTTTTCATTAAGCCCTTGGTGGAGAATGATACTTATAAAAATCCTGAAAAATGGAAGTCTTTTTCATTCCAGGTTACTGAGATATTTGACAGAAATAATTCTACAAACATTCAGCTTCTAGATCACTGTGCTTTCCCGTAGGTCCCAAAATGGCATGTGTCAAAGCATTTGCTGAACTCCTCAGTTGGCATTTACTAGGCTGGTGTAGATGGGCTATCAACATCTTTGTATGTTTCGTTCCATCTACACCTTCTGTTTCATCAAATTCCCTGGATGCAGACTTCTATTCTTTCCCAAAAAGGAACCTCACAGCTCACCTCCTTCCCTGTGGCTACCAATACACCCCTCAAACTTCTCTTAGCTTTCCCTGATGTCTAACCCCCAGAGGATTTTGCCTTTACAACTAAAACAACAATTTCAGGTACATGTACTGGTATTATCAGCATCCCAAGCCACTTACATACCATATTTAGTTAGCACGAAAAACACACACATCCAGCTAAAAGTACAATCATTTGTATGCCTCCCCCTGCTTCACTTTTTTTCTCTGATTTCCAAGAGCTATTTGAATCTACCTCTATTAATGAAAGGCAGAGGCATCCTGTATATTATTCTCTCATTCAACAAAGCAAGTTTGTATGCCCTTTAAATCACAGAATCATAGAATTCTTAGAGTTGGAAAGGACCTCTGAAGGCCATGTAGCCCAACTCCCCCATAATGAACAGAGACAGCACACTACATCAGGTTGCTCAGGGCTTTATCCAGCCCCCACCTTTAAAGTCTCCAGGGATGGAGCATCAACCACAACACTAGGTAACCTGCTCCAGTGCCACAACTCCCTCCCTGTAAGAGACTTTTCTCTTATATCTAACCTAAATCTACCTTCTTTGAGGTCAAAGCCATTTCCCCTTGTTTTATCATAACAGACCCTGCTAAAGAGTCTGTTCCCTTCTTTCCTGTAGCTCCCCTCTGGATACTGACAGGCCACTCTGGTTCTCCCATATCGCCTCCCTGTCTTTCAAGTGCATTAGCATCACTTCCAGAATAATCTGTTCCATGATCTTCCCTGGCACAGGGGTGAGACTGATAGGTCCTAAGCTCATCTTCTTTGCCCTTTTTAAAAATGGGTATGATGTTACCTTTTTTCCAGTCACCTGGGACTTCACCTCATTGCCATGACTTTTCAATTATCATAGGGAGTGGCTTGGCAACTCCATCAGCCAATTTTCCTCTTTAATCTATCTTTTAAGTAAAGGCCTCACAAAAATGTTTCTTCTTGGCTCATCCATTCGCAGTTCAGATTCCTTCTAAGCTATTACCTTCTTCTTCTCCTGAGTTTCTCTGAATGTGGGTAGGTAACTCTGTATTTGTAATTCTGTGGGTACGTATTCTGCAAACTCTACTGCCCTTAGCAGTCTACTGTCCTCTTCCACCCATGCCAACCTCAATCCAGCAGTGCAGGCAGAGGCTTTCACAAGGGGGAGGATTCTTCTCTAGTCAGACACAGACAGCTAGGTTAAGGTCAGACTGCCTCCCATGGCTGCTTAAGCTAACCCAACTGGCTTATGGAAGCCTTATCCTATTCCTCCTCCGCTGGCTGAAATGTTTACAGTCTGGAGGTCTCTGACCAGTCTGGCTGTAAGTTTTCCACTTTTCAGGTCACAAATGAAACATCACCTTTCTCCATTTTCTGTTAGCAAATCTGCCTTTCTCCAAAACTTAGGCACCAGGACAGAATTGGGAAAAGGTTGATGTTACTTAAGTGTGATCGTGTCACGATCCCAAAGAGCTACTGAACATGATCCATTAAAATTTGTTGAGCCTCCTTAACAGTCTCTGCTTTCCAAACCATATGAAATAACCTTCATAGCTTTTTCTGACTCTGACATGCCAAAGTATTTGATGATACAGCAATTCCTTAACGTTAACCAGAATCCATCAACTGTACATAAGCAGAACCCTCAGCATGTCACAGCATGATTTCTGGTCAGCAACCAAACAAGAATATGTAAAATTCTATTTTGCAGTTCTGGAAAGTATTTAAAAGAACTAAAGACAAGGTAGAGTTTGCTCAAGGGAGCAAGACAGCTGAAAGTATTCATACGAATGGCAATCAGAGAGTGCTAGTCAGCACAATTAAAGAATTATTGATTACACAATTGATCTAATTGTACTACTGCAGCTTCAAAGAGAATATCATACCTCCTATTGCCTAGGATATATAGCAAACACTAAGTAGTACAAAGTAAACTTTCTCCTGTGGATTTTTTTCCATTTCAACCAAGGACTTATCTGTCCTCTCTCGTCATTAATTGTAAAAGTTAATGAATAAACAGAAGGTAGTGTAGCTTATTCAAAGGGACAGATACAAAAAAGCACTGGCACAGTTGAAATGCCTCATGTTAAAAATATCTCTCCCCACCAGGAGATATTTGCTCTGGCTGAGGGCATACAGTGTTAAAAGCACCATCCTTCCAGAGAGATATTTCTTTCTATAGATACTCTGTGTACAGCTGGCAGCACATACAGCTGTTTACTATGTAGTCTTAAATCTTTGGAAAAAGTACAGGGTGAATGAACTGCCTTGTTTTAGTCATAGGGACGTGAGTATTTTAGATTGGGCTGGCAGTTTATGACCTCTATCAATAAAACAATTGCTGCAGCCACTGTACACTACTGCAACCCCATCCTTCTTTGAATTTCCTGCCAAAGATCAGAGGTGCCTCTACTTATAGAAAGCAGCACGGATGGAATAGGGAAATATGCTCAAACAGTCCAATGCTAAATCTCAGTAAATAAGAGACAAGAGCCAGACAATCTGGACCGATGCTTTTCCAGTTTATTTTTAGGTGACTAAAGTGCTCACTGACATTTCAGAACACGATGTGATGTACTTGTACGTACTCTAACCCCCATGCAATATTTCTGAGATCTGTTAGGGTCAAAACAGCAAACAAAAGACGACATAAATTTAAATATACACCTATTTCCCTTCATAACGTTAATGTTACCAAACATTTGCTGAGTCAACTTGTGATCAAGCACAATACATGTGCCCAAGGTATTGTGCTACATGCATTAATTAACGTTAATATCTCTTTTCTGTTATCTGATAGTCACATCATGTACTTGCTGCAAATAGTATCCTTTATTTCGAATAAGATGCTATTCCTGTGGGAATAGCACTGACAAAACAGATTTTTTGGAACTAGCACAAATAGAATTCACGTCATTCTTGCTGAATTCTATGGAGACTATAAGAGCTTGAGGTCAGAACAGTGCCCTACAGACAGGACATATCACGTCAGACAGCAACTAGAAAACAAGATTTAATCTTTTTCTCCATTGGAGGGGAGGCTAGAATGGGAAGGGAGCTGGTCTCCCTACACGGTTGATTTTGAGAGAGGCTTAAGCTTGTACAGCTCCAGCAGTGGTTCCAATCTCAAGACACGATAATAGCATTACAAGTGTATTACAGTTGCACTGATGTCCACAACTATGGTTGCACAAAGTTCTGAGTATGTTACAAATTTTACATATATTTTCCATCTCATACATAAAAATTATTTCCAGGAGCCAATAGTAACTGTAGATGAATACTTCCATTTTTCTTAACTGAGAAAAAGGAAAGAAACCTAAACCACTTTGGTTGTCAATATGCAGTGTCTAAGAAGCAACACAGATAATGGGGATATAAAATTACCTATCCAGATTAATTTGCATCTTTTGTGCAACCCTTTTCTTATTCACCTTTTCATTTGTTTTTCCCCGCTAACCTGCAGAGCCACCCACACCCTCTGAGCATGTTTATTTTTCCTCCTGTCTCTGGATCCTGCCCAGAGGAGGGTGAATACATTCCAAATGACTTTGCTCTCATCCTTCATACTGGCAAATGCTTTTACAGCTCCTCAGGAAATATTAGCAGATCAGGGACACATATTCTTGGTGCCTTCCAGGACCCTAACCTGAAAGAAATCCAGCTGGGGAAAAACTATGTCCAATGCTGAGTGGGAGAACCGAATATCTTGGGGCAAATGCTGTGTTCTCCTCTTTGGATTCTCCAGTACTGAAGAAGATGCAGAGTCCTGTATTTCAGGCTTTAAGTTGTGTTTGGCTACTGCTTCTAGTAAAGAAATGTATTTATATATTCCTGCATAGTTTATCTCAGGTGAAACATGCTGTTCCTCTCTCTGTCCTTATTTATTCTGAAGCAGGCTAATATTTGAGCCAATAATTTAAAACAAGATTCAGCTAGCATACACAAGAAGAACAGGTTTTGCTTTCAGTAGCATGGCACACTTCCTTCCCCACATTACGGCTCTCCCCAGGCCAATCTCTATATATGTATATATATATTTTTTTGGGGGGGGGGGGAGGGCCGCATTTTTCTGACACTGATATATGGAAATTAAAAGAACATGCACCAGAATGACATAGGAGAATATCTCACATGAAATTCTGTTCCCTTTATTTAGGTTGCAAAAGATCTCTTTCAGTACAGAAAGGAGTTCCCAGCCCCAGGCAGCAAAACTTGCCCCAGCCCGTACTGCAGAAGAGCCCATCCAGGAGCCTGCACTGCCCCTTCCATCTCTACGCTGAAGGACCAGCAGCATTGGAAACCAGTTTTGAAGGGGTTCCAGGATGCAAACACATAGCAGATTGAAATCAGAATTTCATTTCACACAGAAAGCCACCAAATGGATGAATCTGCGTTTCTAATCCCATAGACCACAGTCAAGTCAATGGCAGATCTTTTACAATCCCGTTCAAAACACTGCTCTACAGCTTACTGTCACTTTCAGCTGTCACTCAAGCCTTTAAATGTAAGTGAAAAACTAGACAAAGACAAAATTTTGTTCTAAAAATAGCATCTACCTTTAGCTGAGAGAATGTTAAAATACCTTTTCCCCTGGGGTCACAGAGATTCGCCATATGCAGTGGGTGTAGGAAGGATAACCGTTTGGAAATCCTGGAGAAGAAAAGTTGCCTGTAGATTCCTGCAGTGTTTCTCCACAGGCTGAAAGAATCAAAAAACAGTAAAAATATGAAATTGAATGTGCCTAAGAGAAAAAAAATGTGTCCTTCCAATATCTATTTAGAACCCATTTAACTCACTGCAGATGCAGAATGGAAAACAGACTAGTTATTTTATGATTTATTCAAAACAGAGATTTTAAGCCAATCTGACGTTCATTCCATTTTACACAGGATGTTTTTATTCCATGAACTGCTTCACTTGTGTACTGTCTGCTGACTTAACCAAAATTAGAGCAGTCTTAAAAATGTCACTGCTGCCAGTCAACTGCAAAATTATACGTGTAACTTCATTTTGCAGGAAAAAAAAGTTAGCCCCACCCTCAGGCACATCCTTTATGAGCTCAAACAAAACCACAACAAAAACTGGCACAGTGTGATTGGCACCACATTGCAATTTCATTAGAGGCTCCATTTATTTCAGTACTTCGCCCACATGAGAGACTGCTCTTACCTAAAATCGCACAATTATACTGGCATAGAAAACTTAAATCCTACATTCAACAGAATCTCTTGCAACAATGATTTGCAGAGGTGAGGGTAACAAAGCAAAGCAAACGTAAAGTCCTAAAAGACCAAAAGATTTCGTATTGCTTCTTTTTAAAGCTTTCAGCACTCATATCTCACCTGTCAATCATGCTACAATCTGCTAGCTGACTGATCAGTAATTCCCCTTCACACTAAAACACATCATTAGAAGCTCCTGCTCTTCTCTCCCATTAAAACTGATTCTGGTGGGATGTCACATCTCAGTCAGTCATCTTTTTGACCATCAATCAAGTTGTTTCACCTGCTGATCTGCAGGTGTGATATAAGACATGTGAACTGTAGAGTATTATCCCGTGACTGACAGCGTAATCAGATCTTCAGTGCTTTCAAATTACAGCACTGCCAGCAGGTGAAGCAATGTATCATCAAAATCTCAATGAATTATAAACGATCTGGAAAATCTTTAAATAAAAGCAGACAAAAGATTGTTTATGACAAAGAGACAATGCAGCTGTAAGGGCTGTCGTGTTAAAATGCTTCTAAGATGTAATCTGACAACGACACTGTAATATCAGGCATAAGCTACATTCAAGGCATTAAATATGCTCTCTGACACCGAAATGGTTATTGTGAGGAAAGAAAAAGACTGGTGCAGCCTCCCAAAAATTTAATAGCTCAAGTTACTGTCACCATGTCCTTCAGAAATGAAATGGACAAAAAAAAAAAGTTTATCCCCTCATTAAAAAAAAATAAATGTTTTTTTCTCTCCAAATTGCAAGCTTCCACAGGAAATGACATATATACAAAAGGTATTCAGTGCTAAATAATTATTTCTATATAAAACCTTCCCCGTGAAAATGCTATACCCATAATTAACCACAATTTATTTTTCACATGACAATTCATGAAAACTTGAATAAATTACAGAGTGCTGTACTGGGTTCCCTGAGAGCTACTGAGCTGTATCATAGCTTACAATGAATATGTAAAGCACTTAAAAGAAGGCCAAGAGTAAAACAGCTATCACAGAGCAGAGGAAAGCAGAACCCAAAGAGACACTGAGTCCAAATGCTCTGCCCGCTGCACAAAGAACCCTCTCTCATTCCTTCCCCCACTCCATGCATGGCTTCAGGGAGGCTGTGCTGCATCAAGGTACTCTCAGAAGGAACACAGTCAGATTAAATGCAGCCCTGCATTTAGAAAAAGGGCAGAAGGAAGAATCATAGGATACCCTGAGTTGGAAGGGATCCATAGGGATCATCGAGTCCAACTCTTGGCTCTGCAGAAGAACACTTAGAAATCGGATCGTATCTGAAGATCCTGGCATAACTAGCCCTTATGTTACAGTCCTTAAATTACTCATTTTATAAAAGCATACTAACAGAGAAAAATACCTTTGAAAACTGTTCAGAATTCCTCTCAGTCTGCAGGTTTATTTTTGCTGTGTTCCATACAGAGAACTTGTATACAGACACCAAACTATGTACTTCAGGTAGCTGCCACTGAGCGTTTCCCTTTTGTAAGAATTGAAGAATAAAGATACACAGCATAAAGCTAGCTCACTCAGTGATTTCACTGCTATTCATATTAAATGCATGGGTGCTCTCTATTAAATCAAAATTTTCAAAAAAACATAAGAAAAAATTTAATCAGATAACTTCTACTACGAATCAACACAAGCAGAAGTTATAAAATAAGGTTGGACTTTATATATTTCACAGGATTTAATTAAAAATTCCTGGTTACTCAAGGGATATGTGACAAGAACAGCTCATACTAATCAATAGCTGAATTAATTATCTGTGGGATCAGAGTTACCAGGCTGGCTTCCAGAGCTGTTGTTGATAAGTTGCTATTTGGGTACTTCCTGCTTAAAAGCACATTTCTCTACAATGGGTCCGTGATTATTATAACATTTAACATCTTATCATTAAATAATTTAAGGTTTATCTCTGCAACTGGACTGTACAACTGCATTATTTGTGATTAAGTTTATAAAATAGTATATTCTGTGTATTTCAGTGAGCTACGATCCACTAGCAACGGACTCAGGTTAAGGCTGGGTATTAGGAAAAATTAGGAAGAGTGGTGGTGCAGTGGCACAGGCTGCCCAGGGAGGTGGTGGAGTCACTGTCCCTGGAGGTGTTCAAGAAATGGGTAGATGTGGCACTGAGTGACATGGTTGGAGGGCATGGTGGGGGTGAGCTGGGGTTGGACTGGATGATCTTAGTGGTCTGTTCCAACCTTAATGATTCCACGATTCTGTAGTTCCACATTAAGAAAGCAAGGCAGCAGTAATAAGAGTGTAATGGCCATTTCCTCAGATCTAGTTCTAGCATGTTTCACGTGGAAGAAATTGATTGCATTTTCAACTTTCGCTAGTCCAGATCACTTACAGAAATGGCACTTCGACTGCCCCCCCATACACATTCCAACCAAAAGCCAATCTACAGATTGAGAAGCCTCGTCTTCTGATGGGCCTTCCTGTGGTAATGAAAGGGAAAATATTTTTCTCCTCTTTGCAAAGACTAGGAATAGATGCAAACACCAGGATTATATTCCAGAGAGTGATTTCCATTGCTGAAGCCTGCCAGTGCTTAACTGTGCAGCCAGTACACCACCACTCTCATCTGGCCAATACACACAGCATCATAAGAAAAACATAAAAACAAATCAAACCTGCTGTTCACAGCACTTGCTCAGCTCATGAAAGACAGCTTCACTGACCTCAAACCCATTTCTCAGTCACTAAGTCCTTTTCTGACAAATGACCCTGACTATCCTGCCTACTTAAAGCTATTGAAGAGGCTCAGCTATCTCACTACTGAGCTGACCAGCTTTTTTCTCCAGCATCCCCAAGCTCAGCTTTATGTTCATGGGCCCAAGAAAATGCTTCTCCAGCCAGAAGCTATCTGTAGGAGCATCTGGAACTCCAAATGAAACATACACAATACTGCAACGTTTTTCACCTAAGAAGCCAGTTTCTCTGCAAAAGCCTGATTTGATTCACTATTTTCTGTATTTTCACGGTATTACATTTGAAGTAAAAGAAACTGAACACGTGAAAAAAAAAAATGCAGATATTATTTATGTTTGAAATATTCACTGCTGTGCTATCATAGGCAGACACAATGATTAACATGTTTTGTCTGAAACAGGAGATACAGCACATATCCAAAAACAATGTCATGGATGTTACTGCTGTAAACTGTAAATCATGTATGTTCCACGAAAATCAAAAGCATAGTATCTAAACTATCAGCCTTGCTATTTGTTGAAACGTTTACTAGATCACAAATACCACTGAACTTGCAGAGCTGCTTTCCTTACTGAGTGTCTTCTCGGGGTGGTTTTTAACTTTGTGTCATGAGTTATTCAGTAACTAAAAAAAATGAATTGAAAAAATGTGATGTTAGAGAGTACAGTGGGTAAAACTTGTACCAAAACCTTCAGCCTTTTTCTCCCTCTCTCTCTTAAAACTCTCTTTTACAAGCTGGCTCACCAAAGTAAGGCTAGAAAACTAGTGTGTTTTATCCCAAAGTCTGCCAAAGCATAGCACAGAAAAGGAGGCTGATCCTGCAACCAATCATCGTTTTTGTTGCCCCTCTGAAACACGTTCACCAGTACTGCAAATTTTATAGTGTGCACTACTGCTGAGCAACGATGTTTTTACAATAACATGAAACTAACTTTCAACAAGACTGTGCAAACACCAAAAGAAATGACAATTATTATCATACATGTTTATGAATTATATGAAAAGCACTTTTTTTTTTTTTTTCTGAATAACTGCTAGAACTTCAGCTCAAAAAGCACATTCTGTCTTTGCACGTTCGAGTTATAAGAGTGTCATCTATGCACTCAACTGCCAAAGTGATTTTTGACGGTTTTCTTTTTCTTTCTTTCTAACTTTTAATCAGAGGGATACAAGACACCAGCTATATTCACAGCGATCCAGATTCCATGTGTTATTTTTGCCTTCAAAGCTTAACTTATATCAAATATATACTTATTCTCTGTGTTTACAAAATAACTGCTCTCCATATACTCTTATTAGAAATAATGCTACCTGGGAGAATAATTTTATTCAAGTACAGTCTTTATCAAAAGAACAAAACAAAACTTAATCCAGAAGGGATAACTGCTAAAGAAAATGTCTTACTTTATCCCCTGGTAGAGCCAGAAACACTGTGTGTGATCTCTGCATATAGACAGTTATAATTTGATGTACTTGCAGCACAAACTAAAAGCATCCTTCAGCAATACAATGTGTATCAGAAGCCCCAGATCATCAGCAGATCGTGCTGATGCTGATATAAACCTAAAGCAGCTCCCTCACTTCAATCCTGACCGTCTTTATAGTCCTTGTGCATTGATCTGGTGGTAAAAAGTAGCCATATATCTGACTTAAACAAGTTACTGAGACTTCATTAACCCCCACGAGGAGGAAGAGAGTTGTAAAAGCTCTGTTTAAAGATTGTTTACAACTTAGTTACGCTGGCTTGTAGTAACTTTTGAGAAAGCTGCACTGAGTTCAGAGTTGATTTTAACAATTTGATTTGCTCATTCTGCCTTCCACTCAAATTCAAAACAAACATTACCCCAGACCTGACGTATACTAAAAGCAACTCCTCCACCTAATTGTACAGTTGAAGCTTTACACTGCAAATACATAACCAGAAGTACCATTAAGTGTTTCTTTTCCAATCATTGAACAGCTAAGGAAAACATACTGAAATGGAATGAAACTAAATGTTGTTTCATGTCGTTTATCTGTCCTTAAGTGCTTTGCATTTGAGAGACCTTACCTAAAAGATATTTCATGATTCAGCTCTTCTTCTGCCTACGTCAGTTGCCAACGTGGAAACAGACTAATAAAGCAACTGACTCAAAGATATTATCGTTCCTCTTGAAAAAAAAAATGAAGTCAAACAATTGCTAGTATGTGTTTTTTGTTTGTTTGTGGTGCAATACCTGGACATCTATACAGCTTTCTTGCCTGTGCAATATCTCCTTTACTTAGACGGGTACGCTGGCCAATGGCAGGTCGTATACCATTATCATCACGGGAAGGGAGAATGGTATCCAGAAACATGCCCCTAAAAAAACATAAAAATAAAAAATAGACCCCAAAAACCCTATCAGGTTTCTGTCATAAAACTTGCAGAGTTTGATGCATGAATTATGCTATTATGTAAACCTAAAATTTACATTTGGCACAAGTAAGAGGGTAAAATGCAGAACTTTAAATAGAGAAAACAAGTCAGAAAAATTCATTGGGCTGACCAAACCTTAAGCAAAATTATCAAAAAAGAATCTTTCTTCAGTAGATCAGTGAAAGCTTTTATATTTCTGCTAGACAACAGAAAGGAAAACTCTTACTATTATTTTGATTACACAGGGAAAATGCATTACAGCTCAGCTCATTATATTGAAAAAATGAAATAAAAATTAAATAAATAAAAATACATAAGTCCCTGTCACAAAATTCTTAATCACAAAGTTCCTACTTCTAATGAAGTTTTTAAAGCCTTAATGTTTGACTTGCATGAGTAAGAGCAAGTAAAGTCAGTCCTGTTCGCCAGTGCAGTAAGAAGTCAGCCAGTAAAGCGAAGCTATTCCTGGTTTTATTGGATTCTTTTATTTAATTAATGTCAGACCATTTTTCTGTCAGATGTTATAACAGATCTTACTCTACTCTAGCTGCTGCTGCTATTAAAATACAAGTGCTTGCTTGCCACATTCTGCTTGCTCTACAACAATGTATGTCTACCTACCATAAGTGATTTCCATAATATTTACCTTAAATGACTAGGAGTAATAGAGAAGCACATCTGTTCCAAATGTGTACTTTCATTCAAAATATCCCCATTTCTAGATATGAATCAAAATATTCTGGTTGTCTGAAGTCAGTTTTAGAGAAGAAAGTACAAGGATGTTCTGTTTTCATATTATAGGATTTGAAAATCCATAAAATCCAATAAAATGGAATTTAATAGATGAATATGTTTTTGTATTCTCTTGTTCTTTAATTTTTGGATGCTCTCTTTTGTCCTTGCAGGGCTTGTACAGAAAAGTAAAACTGATGTTTTTACATGTGGATTGTAGGTCCAAAAAATGAATGCATAGCGAGGATCTTTGTAGTTATGAATGCTGTTAATTAAAACAGATCACTTTTTAAATGATAATAAATGATAAATAGATCACTTTTTAAATGACAATAAACGAACAACTTTGAGTACTGGGGTACTCAAAATATTGCTCTCTTAACCCAGTCAGATTTCTGATGGCATCACTAAAGATTTTGGAAAAAAGAAAAACAACAAAAATCAATCAGCTTAGGACATTGCATTATGTTGAACTCTAGAATAAAGTACTTATGATATTATTCAGTTTCTAGAAATAAGGGACGTTACTAATTAAAAAAAAAGTTATTCTTTAAATCATAATTGTATCTTCCACTGATTTTTGGTACAATCTGAAACAGATGCCATTACTGTTTTGAAAAATGTGAGAACGATCCTCTCAGATGGCTCAGCACTACTCTGATTTGCGCTTTAAAAAAAGAACAACTGGTAACAGTTTTAATAAAGCATTAGCAGCATTATCATGTGCAACCAGAACTTCATCAAGTTTTGCAATTTCTCCTACTTATCCGGAGTAGACTATAAGAACAAACAGCTGGCAATATTTCATGCTGGGCATGACTCATGCTTTCAAGATAAATTACTGAAAATTGATACATGACCTCGGGGTTTGGAAGGTTGTTTTTAAACAGCATGACTTAACAACCTACTGCACCTTGGGGCAGGGCATGCCTACTCATGGCACTATCAGTTTTTGCCAGCTTGGAAAGTGGTGAGATCAGAGCCCAGAATTCAAATTATCTTACGCTGTCATTGCCCTAAGACTCTGGAGGGTTCCAGCTTGTTAAATTTCTCTATTTTACATAGCTTTTTACAGCTTAAGGTAATTCATCTGTAACTGGATTAAGCAATATGACTAATATCTACCTCATGTGGCTCAATTTCCATGTTTTTCCTGGCCAATATGCTGAATATGTTCTGGTGAGGTTTTTGGTGGTCTTCAGTTTATTTCTGAATCTCAGTCTGTCTGGGGATAATTTATTTAATATTCAAAGAAAACTGTATTTGCTTTATGTGATGTGCCATCAGGTCCTTGCATAGGTTTTCTTTCAGAGCTTTTCTTAAATCTACATTACTCTAGTAATTTCAGAGTAGAAAAAGTTGGACTGCAACTTGATATGAAATACAACAGGAAATCAGGTGAGACTCCTGCTCTCCTTTTTCTAGCCTAGGAGAACAGCTTGCTGTACAGCTTCTCAAATCCATTCAGCGTTTCAGAGCAAGCCCATGAAGTTTGGAGTGGGCTTGTCAGCAAGAGGAGGAAAAAAGCAGATCATCTTTCTATAAGGTTTTGATGACAGTACCAATCTGTACAAACAACACAGAAGGGACTGCAGCCTGTGCTCTAAATGGTTGGCTGCAGCCCTTCGCAAAGGTTGCGGTTTGCATGGTCGATTTCTTACTACCATAAAGTGTTCTAGTTGCATAACCCACAGTTATTCAGAAGTCATGCATCAAAGGACATTTCTCTCCAAGAGAGCAGATCATGTTATACTTAAAACACTTCATCATTTCAATCATTTGGTTATTCTAAATACAAACATGCACGGAATACAAAGTTTTACAAAAAGAAGACGAGCACTATGAAATGATGATTCTAGATTATCTTGTCTTAAAATCTAAAGAACCAAAACAAGACTAATAGGATGCTTTGGAACTGAGCAGAAATGTGTTCCAAAATATAATTTAATTATTCTGACTTAAACAAGCTGTGTTTTTACTGCTGTAAGTGTACTGCGCTACAAGGAATATTTTAAATGATTATGAAATAATTTTAAGTAAACAAATAAATTCACATTTTTTAGCATTCACAGAGAGGAATAGAATTAAAAGTCAAAAGGTATAACCTGAGACTCCAACCTTGAGAAGGTGTTCCTGGCATAGTGCATGATGCTGTCAAAGTCATACGGCTCCCCAAGGGAATTCACCTCTCCAGGCTCCATCTTCAAGAAGTTGTATTCCTGACCTAAGGATGATTGATAATTATTCCCTGTAATATCTCTTTTTGAGAAGATTAAAAACCAAACAGGAAAAGAAAAACATCAAAGATCCCAACTTGATTACTCGCGGACATTCATAACTCTTAGTCATCGTTTGGAAGTAACTGTGTGCTTTTATTAACCAAGACAGCAGGCATCTCAGAAATCTCTGATATTTAGAAAGACTGTTCTCATTCACATAATCCATGAAGTCTCCAAACATTATGCTATAATTCATGTAGAATCTGGAAAAATTGCTGGACTGTTTCTTAATTCCAGCTGATGATAGTATTATTATAATAATAATTGCTGTGAGCTTTTGAAGAATCCTCTTTATTTTAGATTCTCTGGACTGATACTAAAGTGACTTTACTTCATTGCAGGCAGAGCACCCATGTATTGCAAATACAAGTAAGTCACATTTTCAGGAGTTCAGCTTTTGCAATTTAAATTGCAAGTAGAACAAAATAATAATATTCAGCTCATAATTCCAGATCCATAATTCTTTGACTTAATCATTCATACAGGGACGCAAAGCACTCCTTACTCCAATTCATACTCATTTTGCAGTATTGCAAAACAAACAAATGAAAAAACAACTGCAGTAGGATTAACATTATTTATCAACTTCTTCTCTGTAATATAAGAGAAAAAAAATACTTTGGTGGTCATGATCTGATTTAGTGAAATGCAAGCTCAACAAGTGATCCACAAAAGACAGCACAGGAAGTATTTTCAGTCAGAAACTAGAGGGACAACTGAAAGGGGAAAGCAGGAGGCAGAGGATGACACTATGCTCTATTTTCCCCATCAGAGAAAAAAACCTAACAGATGAGGACTTGAACAGCATCTATGCAAGTTGATGGGAAAGAGAGTAGGTGGAAAACTTGGATGTGCGAACTGGATTTCAGGACTTCAGAGACTCTTGGAAGTGTGAATTAGCTGCCAGACTTCCTCCAGCTGTTTCTGAGATGGAAAATCATAGACTGGCTTAGGTTTGAAGGGACCTTAAAAGATCTAATCCCTTCCACTCTCACTGTTGTGGAGGGGATTCTCGCAAGATTTATTGCACCCCAAAACTATTTTGTTTTAAAACATTTTCTTGAAGGACAGACAATCTAAGCTACCATTAGACACTCATTAATTCCATCCCTTCTCAAACCCTGCAGAGAATGGTCAAAAAGGTCAAAATCAGCATTTCACAAAGACCAGGTGTACTTATGAACAAAGCAAATGGAGCATGCCTAGTTTCCTTCCAACACAGATAACAGAGTTTCAGATTTGAATATGATGGGAACATGGTCACAGATTCAAAGTGTTCAGCTTCCCTTCCAAATCTCAACCTGCTAGGCAGCTTAACAGGTATCAGCATGTCTCTAATAATCATTCAGTATGACTGTAAAAGCCTTTCTCAGCCACAGAAAAATAGGACGTTAAAGGGCTCTAATTGTAATAGCTTCCTTCAAAATTTCTGAGTGTGATTACTATTTCTCTCCTAGCCAAGGATACTTCACGGCTTGCTATTTGGCCAGATCTTAAGAAAAAATTATATTTTAGTTGCAGTACTATATTTGTGAATCTTCTTAAGATTGGTCTAGCTAAGAGGAATAACAAATGCTTATTTCAGCTGTCGTTACAGAGCAATTCAGTTCTAAAAAACTCAAGCAAATGAAGTAAACAGCAAAAAATGAACACTTTTTTTCCCAAAAACGTTTATTAGAACATCTCACCTGGTTGGATGTTTTCTCTAATGATGGTGACGTGGTCATCTCGGTCTGGTCGTGTATGTTCATGCCAAAAGCCTATAACATGACCTAGTTCATGGACCACTATACCAAATTTATCACAGTTCTTGCCAATAGATATAGCTTGAGGACCATTTCCCCTTCGACCCACATAAGAACAGCACCTGCAATTAAAACACAAATAAAGATGAATGTTCTCATATTCTTATTTAGGAAGTTCAGTTAAAATCTGAGAAAACGCCTTCTTAAAAAAAAAAAAACAAAAAAAACCAGCAGAACTACTCACTGTGAAGTTTCTGAAGTCTCTCAAAACCTAGAGCTAATGCTGGAATGACAACTTACTTATTATTCAGAATACCTTATGAAGAATTTATGGATTGTTTTATTTTTTATTCAAGGCCTTCCACAAGATGTTAGCTGTGTTTAGCACAACTGTCCCTTGTGGTCTTGTATTTCCATATGACACAATAATGCATTTGCACTCAAAGAATTAATGAAGTCCACTTTACTGAAGTACCATCTCATTCATGTACATCACTGCTTTCCTGCCCACACACCATCAAAAAAGACGTGCAGAAGGAACAGGAAAATGTATGCACACACTTTCCTCCATGCTATACTTCTGCTGTGTGTCTTGAAAGCACTCACTGTAGCCATGCTCACTCAGTTCTGGTAAGTTTCCTATATTTTGATCTGAAAATTCACCCTTCCCTACTAATTCTATTTATAAAATGATGCAAATGAAATGGTAGCCCATTAAAAGAGTCATTTTGTATCTGTTAGTGCACAGTTGAAAAAACAGCAGAAGATATCCTGCCAGAAATGCAATATCCTGTGGTGCCTCTTAACAGTCTCTCCATGTTTTCTATATTTTCTGTTTATCTGTCTGTGGATGATGTATACTGTCATTTGCAACAACTCTGTATGAGGAGGTTGAATGATCTTAATAGGAGTGAACCATTTCTTCTACCACTCCTGTTTTCTTGCAATATAAACTTTTAGGATGTTAGTCCCAGAAAGTCATACCCCCCTGTCCCGTCCCCCCCCCCAAAAAAAGGGAAATATGCTTTGCAAGTGCTCTTGTGTTTCATTACTCTTCTTCTGCGCTTTCACAAATTATACCTTTTCAGCATTCACAGTGTCAACATTTATCAGAGATGTCTGCTTGCTTTTTCATTAGAAAAGACATCTGCTGATTAAGCCAGCAAAACCGTAGAAAGGGAGAAGAGAGTGAATTCTGCAGAAATCTGAGACAATTTCAGAGTTAACAATCTAAAACTCATTCTCTTTCACCTCAAAAAATTCTAGCTGTTACAAGCCGACATTACATTCCTTAACAATAACTCATTTTCTCATCTCTGCTCTGTAATTCTGTAGTCTTTCAGATGGAATAGAACTGTGCAGAGTAGAAGTTCACCTCCACCTCCTCCTCCTTAAAAAAAAAAAAAAATAATCGGATGTCCAACATTTATGTTGTATTTGTTCTTTGAGGAGGCTTATGTTAGCGTGGACTTTGATCCAATCCTTCATACATATCTGTGGTCAATAAAGAAAGAGCAGCCATGGAAGTAATTTCAATCGTATATTAAACTCTACAGCCTCCAAAATTGGCTCCCTTTCAGGTTTTGTAGAGTTGTCTCTTTGGATAATTGGCTGGTCAGTCAGTCTTAATTGGGTTGTTTCACTGATTTTTGTTAATAAAACAAACAAACAAACAAGCAACCCACTAAATCCATCAAATATAAATATTAGGGGAATACAGTCATGACACTTCAGCTTGTTATATATATCCTTAGTAAACATATACTGGTTTTGCACGGCTGAGAAAAATGAAGGATAGCAATATCCAAAAAAATGACAGTAATACCTTAGAATTATAAAAGCAATGCATTTATTTTATAAAGTAAACATTATTGTAACAACCTCAGAGAGTTGTATTAAGAATTCCAAAGCTGTCTTAAAAACACCGCTTGGAAAATTAATTGTCACAGAATCACAGAATGGCCTGGGTTGAAAAGGACCACAATGCTCATCCAGTTCCAACCCCCTGCTGTGTGCAGGGTCACCAACCAGCAGACCAGGCTGCCCAGAGCCACATCCAGCCTGGCCTTGAATGCCTGCAGGGATGGGGCATCCACAGCCTCCTTGGGCAACCTGTTCCAGTGCATCACTGCCCTCTCAGTGAAAAACTTCCTCCTAATATCCAACCTAAACCTCTCCTGTCTCAGTTTAAAACCATTCCCCCTTGTCCTATCACTGTCCACCCTCATAAACAGCCATTTCCCCTCCTGTTTATATGCTCCCTTCAAGTACTAGAAGGCCACAATGAGGTCTCCCAAAGCCTTCTCTTCTCCAAGCTAAACAAGCCCATTTCCCTCAAACTTTCCCCATAGAAGAGGTGCTCCAGCCCTCTGATCATCTTAGTGCCCTCCTCTAGATTTATCCTGACTGGTTCTAAAACACTCCTACCCTCAAAACAAACGTAATTTATAACTCTTTCTTTCCTGCTTTAGGCAGTTCCAAGCATAGGTATGAATCACCATTTTCCTTGGCCTAAGTACAGAATTGGGCTCTGTGCTCCAGCTCTGGTTGTGCAATAATGTGACTTTCACGCTTGAATTTCTTAAGGTGTTCACTAGTGACTACTTTAAAAGCAAAGGAAATGCAGACTTTCTGCCATCATTCTATGCACTGCAGGTTTACACCTCCATACCATAACAAAAGAAAATAACATGAGGGCATTTATTTCCATACTCTGTATAAACTACAGTAATAAAAAGCAAGTATGAACAATATTTGGTATAGAAATAAGCACTGACATAAATAATAGTAGTGGAAGTACTGCCTTAACATACACCCTAGAATACAACACAGGCAATAAAATGGAGTGATGAAGAGCATAAATAAGAATAAAATAAAAATCTAGAGTAATTATACTACTTTATCTCATGATTCCACGGTGGATTTCACCTTTGCACCTAATTTGTTGACATGCCTTTGTTTAACATTTTTTTCAGTTTGCTGAATAAATATTATCGCTCCAAGTCAATATGCAAACATAATTAAAGCTTTACAGTATTTTCAGTGTCTTTATTGTGTCTGGGTACTTATTCTTCACTAGTTCCTTAACTATTTGAATAGCTCTCTATTAGCATAAGTAAATTACCAAAGTTCATACACTCTCATTCGCTCATGTTTAGTATGGTGTCTGTAAAATAGTAACGCTTTGGATCCAAAAGGACATTTGTTGTTGTTCTTAAATTTTGCACACAATATTATTTACTGTCACATCCCATTGCTGGGGGAATGATTGAGGACAGACTTAGCCAAAAGTTGCGGAATCCGCAGAAATTTCTTTCTCAGAAAACTTCATTAATTTTAAGACACTAAAGAACTGGTCGCAGTGTTGAATTAGTGTTGAATTCTGAATTTATTGGCATAGGCAGTTGCATTATGTACACCAAATTAATTTGTTAAGCACAGCCCTAGGTCCCAGACTTCAAATCTTCTAGAAAATACCCATCCTTAGCTTTCAGTGCTTACAAGTAAGTCTAAGGTTCAGCACTCACGTTGGCAACATACAGGAAGACATGGCAGAAAACTAGATCAATCAGATGAAGTAACCCACATTCTTTCAGAGTATGTCACCATTTCCATATTAGTTGAAATTAATGAGTTATGCTTCTCTAAGTATGTTAAAGTTATGCACATCATTAAGGTAATTATATTATATGGGTCTTGGACAAAAGAACTATGCTTGATGCCTACTTTATAGGCAGAAAAGTATAAAACACATACAGTCAGTGAAAATTCTACATTTGGGGAAAGTACAAAATTTGAAAGAAAAAAAAAATACAACCAGATTTTGTTTAATTTCAGTTGGAAGGGATCTGTGAAGCACTTTAGTTCAACCTCCTGCTTAAAACAGTCAGATATCAAGTCAGAAGACAGCTGTTCAGGTGTTTATCCTGTTGAGCTTTAAAAATGTCAAAGGACAGACAGCACAGCCTCTCAGAGCAACCAGCTTCAATGTTTGGCTGTCCATACTGTAAGAAATATATATATACCTGGTCTGATTCTTTCTTCATCTTCTGTCTGTTAGCTTGCATTCTCCCACCAAGCATCATCATAAGGAATCTATCTCTTCATGTTTCCTTCTCTGTAGGAACTGAAGGCTGCTGTTGCATATACTGGAAGCCATGTGAAGTAATTCTGCACCCTCAGCATCTCCTCACAGGGCCAACACCCCTGAGCACCTTGGCAGCCCGCTGCTAAAGTCCTTGCAGGTAATTAATGTCATTCTCATATGTAATGTTTACCTATCATCTAGAAAGTGCCAACCAGAGAAGGACAACTCCTTTTCATGAAAGGCTGTTCATACAGCCTCTGGTGCTGCTGGCTCCCTTTGCAGCCAGGGCCACCTTGTACCTAACTTGCTGCCTGAGGACTTTCCCCACAGAGCTGCACATCCCAGCTGCACAGCTTTGTATTCAGCCCTTCTGAACTTGATCAAAAAGTTTGCAAACAAGGAGAACTTGGGCATTACCAGCGTGCTTAGTGGCTCTGGGTATCTTAATGGGTACTTCAAAAAAATATTTTCTTCTTAGAAAACAAAAATGGAAAGAAACAAAAGGATACAGAATGCTTCTGCATCTTGTAGGATACAAAATACTTAGGACACCTAGGTGCTGGCATATTTAGAACTAATGTTCTAAATACTCAGAAAGAGAATGTGCATGTGTATGTCTGTAGGTATGTATTTGCAGGTGAAGATAAACTGTAAAGCATTTGTTTAGAAACAAAATAAGCCCACTGAGTAAAACAAAACACAACGAACAGCCAGCTGCATGTGGCAATTTCCTTTGAATATTTACTTAGCAGATTTTAAGCTCTTCCCAGAAATTATCAATAAATTTCTTCAGTATTGCTTAACAGCCTAAGGAGAATTAGAATTAACGTGAGTCTCAAAATAACAGTATCAGTACACACTCATAGAAGGTCATGAGGATTAGTTGGGTTGAGTGTCATGTCAAGCACATCAGATTCGTCCAACTAAGCTGCAACGTTCTGATCACTGCAACTACTGCACTGAGGCAAAAGGTAAGAAAAACTAAAGTAAATAAATATACATATGAAAGAAATAAGTTGCAACATCCTGAGGCTG